GCCGCGACGCATGCAGCAGTAGTACTCCCTCCGTTCCCAAAATGATCATCATATAGTTTTTTTAGATTATTCCTAAATAATCATCATATTTATATTTATTCATTAAGTCTATTCGTTATTTGTGCATTTGAGTAAATAGACATTGATGCATGCATTCATGCATACAAGTATTTATAACCCACATGCAATATCTTGATTTGTTATTGGCTAGGAAATAGTGGGTATGGTGCATGCATCGAATTTGTTGCTAGAGTAAATATAGTATGAGAGAGTTATTAGTTTTTCTTGATCTTGATGTACTACCTATGAAATATGTAGATCAATTTGGAATGGAGAGAGTATTAATCTTGATCCGATCCGTTAGCATTGACAAACGTGGGAGAGATCCGCTGTGTTCGGATTCCATGGATGGGAGCTAATCCCTCGTGCACGGAAAACGGAGCGATTCATTAGCACGTGATTAATTAAGTATTAGCTATTTTTTTAAAAAAAATGGATTAATTTAATTTTTTAAAGCAACTTTCATATAGAAACTTTTTGCAAAAAAACACACCATTTAGTAGTTTGAAAAATATGCGCGTGGTAAACGAGGGAGAGGGGATGGGAACATGGGGTTACAAACACAGCCTACCCACTAGCTACTCGATCGTGTGTATAAAACAAAGCAAATTAACTCGACCGCAGTAATAAGGCTCTCGTCTTTGTTTTAGATACGGGATAAAAATATTTATATGTGTATTCTTAATGGTTCAAAAGTTTTAAAACTTAAATTCTGTTCGTGACCGATAAGACAATAAGTAGATAATGAAAACTAATTCCTCATACACACAGAAAAAACGAAGTTCAAACTGAATGTAACATATTTTAGTGCTACGAATCTAGTTAAATATATGTCTAAGTTCATAGTAACAGGATATGTTATAATCGGTTTTAGGTTAGTTTTTTATGGGTCTAAAGGAAGTAAATTTTAAACAAGAGAGGGAGCATTTGATTGATTTTAGAGAGAGAGGAGGGAATAAACTCGTACTAGTAGAGTAATTTTCCTTTGGAAAAAAAGGATGGGAAGAAAGAGATGGAAGTCCGTGGCGTGGGCCAATAATGGGGCAGCCAATCCAAGGGCATGCAATGCAACGCATGGTATCGGAGTCGGAGTAGGCCACCTCGAGCCGTGCGCGCTGTACGACGCGGTTGACTCATCCTCCCACCTCCTCCTCCTCGAGAATCCCCACCCCATCGATTCCCCATACAATACACATCCACACCACGCTGGCCATAGCTGCCACTACTTCAATTTCCCCATTGCATTTGCATTGCCCACCGGGTAAAAACACCATTAGAGCAAGGGGATGTTTACTCGGGTATTATATGAGATATAGTATTGGATGTTCGGGCACTAATTAAAAAACTAATTACAGAATATATTAAGCCTAATTAATCTATCATTAGCAAATGTTTACTGTAGCACCACATTGTTAAATCATGAAGCAATTAGTTTTAAAAGATTCGTCTCGTAAATTAGTCGCAATATGTGTAATTAGTTATTTTTTTAGCATATATTTAATATTTTATGCAAGTTTCAAACGTTCAATGTGACAAGGTGAAAAATTTTGGGTGGGATCTACACTGGGCCCAAGTTTAATTATATAGCCAACTACAAACTTCAAATCATCTACAGTCAATTTAATAACCAATTCATATAATAATTATTTAAAAACATATACTACTGTAAAAATAATATCTAGTTACACTTATCATACACATATTATGTTCTATAGTTTATGTTATAGCTGGTTATAAAACTATAGCCTGCTATTCTTATCTCTTCTCGTTTATCTTTTGAATATGTACTGCTATTGTACCTGCTCCGAGTCACAAGGAGAGGTGAGCTGAGGTGAGCTGCGGCGACGTCCAATCGCGGCGGCAGCGGCGGAGAGCGAGCGGCAGGGGGGGTGGGATTTGTTTGTCTTTTCCAAATGCGGCGGAGACTGGACAGACGGCGCAAATCCCCACGCCTAACGAACACCCACACCGGCCCACACCCACGGTAAAAATAAAAAAAAAAAGAAGCAAAAGCTAGGCAGACGACGAGACAGTGATTGTGTGATGAATATCTCCTGCTTCGTTTCCTTCGGATAGCGTGCCTCGCCTTGCAGCTGCAGCTGAGTACCGGGTGATTGAAAATGACCACAATCTTTTTTTTTTTACAGTGCCTTCCCTCCATCTGAGATCATCATCTCCTGTCCTGTGTGCACTACTAAACCTGTAGTAGTATTTTTTTTACAGTGCCTTCTAAACCTGCTTAGGGGGGTAGTAATTTAATTACTAGCACGGGCTCAACTATGGGATTGCTTTATTACGCTGCTTTAGATGAAGTAAACCGGGGCGTCCACTGATAGGCGCCTGTGGGCCAACGTTCCTCGATCGATCTTCTGCTGGCTTAACATGACATGAGTGCTTCATCAGCTGAACCCACCAGACCAGTCACCTGTTTCGTAGCGGAAACCATCACCTGCTGACATAGGAAAATGCTAAAAGGACGTTCTCTCTCGTTTGGACGGGATGATACTTCTAAGATATCATCTAATATCTACACAATTTTCATTCTAAAATATAAGTATTTTTAGCTATTAATCTGGACAACTCCAAAAGTTATTATATTATAAGACGGATGCAGTAATATATAGGTATCGGTTGATACCCCGTTCAGATGAGATGATACCTCTATACCTAGGTATTAGGTAGTATCATTTTATTTGAACGGAATATTATCCTGTAGCATTGCCCGTTAACATATCCTACTATCTATATCGATCAATCCTTGTTGCATTCGCTGGCTTGAATTCTTCATTCTTCAAAGGAGGCTTGCATATGCATCACCGTACGTGATCGGGACGGACGACACTTGCGGCAAAAGTTCCAATGTGGTCGTGGGCTCGGAATAGGCCGGCCTGCTACTCTCTACATAGAATCTGGCCCAATAGATACTCTAGGCCGAACATGACCAATTAATCCAGCCCATTTTGTCTGGGAAATAAAGTCTAGTCCCTCAAAGCGCAGATACTTGTGGGCCAAGATTCAGCAATATTTGAGCGGTAAATCTAATTGGAGAGGCCTCACCAATTAGTCTTAACCAGAGACATCCACGTGCTAGTACTTTAGAAGTTTTTGTTGCTATTAATCTATTGAGCAAGTAGGGGAAATATCCCTATCATCTATGCTTCAAATAAAATTTTCTCTTAAATTACTCATCCAATTTACAATCCGATTATACCGTTGTGTTTGTAATAATTAAATCTTTACAACAAGATCTCACATGATTATATTTTAATGAAAAACCACAAATTACTTTATGATATGTCTAAATTACTTTTATATTTCACTAAATTACTTCTCAGACATATAAAAGTAAATTCAGTAAAGCCTAAAAGTAATTTACATATATATTATAGAAGTAACTTATAACAAAAGAAAGAAAGAAAGTAACTTTAATTAATGCCTTATTTCATTGAACAAATTATCATATATATATATATATATATATATATATATATATATATATATATATATATATATATATATATATAAGTTACTTTTATATTTGATTAAAATACTTCCTATACATTCATAATGCTCTGAGGTGATTACTTTTATTATTATTTCAGTTAATTCCATAATTTGTGCTGGTTAATTTAATTTCTAGATAGAGTCTTGTTTTTATCTCTACAACGGATTTACTTCAAATGACATGCTAAAGTTACCTTCGTTTTGTTCTAAGTTACTTCTATAATATATGTAAATTACTTTTAAGTTTTACTGAATTTACTTTTATATATCTAAGAAGTAACTTAGTAAAATCTAAAAGTAATTTAGACATATCATAAAAGTAATTTGTGATTTTTCATCAAAATATAATCATGTAAGATCTTGTTGTAAAGATTTAATTGTTACGAACACAATGGTGTAATCGGATCGTAGATCGGATGAGTAGTTTAAGAGAAAATTGTATTTGAAGTATATGTGGATGATGCCTCTTATAGATGGAGTGGTAGCTGGTTTATACAAACCAGATACCACTATCTGTGTAATTACGTCCATATTTGAGGGAGTGACGTCTCGGTTCGTTTGACTCCATTCATAAACCACGCCGGTGCGCATGCTATGCTGAAGTAATCTCGTGTTGGGCCAACGTTGACAAGGAAGAAATTTTATCACAAACAGCAGCTGCTACCTCTGCAAATCTCTATGAAATCAGCGTTGACGCTGACGTTTTTGTGACAAATGGACGACTTCGATCGTAATTGGGCACTGTGTACAGCGATTCAGAACGAATCAACGAGGATTGACTTATCGCCTTCCGTTACATCATTCCTCAAGCAATGCTTCCCATTATTATTATTATTATTATTATTATTATTATTATTATTATTATTATTATTATTATTATTATTATTATTATTATTATTATTATTATTATTATTATTATTATTATTATTATTATTATTATTATTATTATTATTATTATTATTATTACACTTCTCTCCGGTTCCTTAATTCCTGACGTTTTTGATAAGATTAAGGTCAGATTTGTGTAGCTTTGGCAATCAATAACTTCAAAAGTATTTAGTTTAAAAGAACTAAAACGGAGTTGCTAGAAATATAATGCAATATGCTACAGTCGATTTTTTTTCAGCCACTTACACAGTAGTTACACCTCATTTACACCCCACTTACATATGTAATTAGTATGTAATTTTCGAATTTACATATGTAATTTTAGTACTTACATATGTAATTTTGAGACTTACATTGTAAATACACTAAAATTACATATGTAATTTAGGGACTTACAATGTAAATACATGCCGACTATTTTTTGATGAAAAATATGGCGCCATAAATATAGCTACACCCAACTAAAATAACATACATATATATTATCTTTCAAAGTTTTATAATAAAAGTAAACATGTATCTTTTATGGTATATATTATAAAGAAAAATAAGATCAAATATATATTTTGAAGAACGTATCATTGTCTCAAACAATAAAACTATGGAACCGGAGGGAGTACATCATTTGCATTATGCAAATCAACAAGCAATTAATCAAGCACCGAGTTCACAAAAAAAAAAAAATCAAGCACCGCCACGGCAGCTAGCTAGCTGCACGTACCAACTGACTCATCCACCATCATCAGTGCAATCAATGCAGTGCCGGATTATTATTGTCCATACGGTGATAGTGACACACAGACTTTTGCATGCGTACGTCATCATCAACTGTGGACGACGTCGCCGGCGCCGGACACGAACGCGCACACCGCCGCGAAGAGCTCGTCGGCCGTCTCCTTCACGAACAGCTCCGCCGCGTGGGACCCGGCGAAGTCCGTCTTCGCGACGACCTCCACGCCGTGCCCCCGCAGCCACGCGACCAGCTCCCTCTGCCTGTCGATCAGCGGGTCGCCGTCGCTCCCGGTGACCAGGCACCGAGGCAGCCCGGTCAACGCCGCCGCCGCCGCCGCCATCGACTTCGCCGGGTTGCTGAACTCGTGGTCCTGGTCGGCGCCCGCCGGCAGCGCGAGGCTCCAGAGCTTGTCGTTCGCCTCCAGCGGCAGCACCGCGTCGTCGCCGGACTTCTCCTCCGACGGCGTCCGCGCCACGCCGCCGAGGTACGGCTGGTGCAGCACCAGCCCGCGCACGGCGGCGGGGCCCAGGTCGAGGCCCCTGCAGGCCCGGACGCCGGCGTTGAGCGCCATGTTCCCGCCGGAGCTGCTCCCCATGACGAAGCACCGCGACAGGTCGCCGTGCGCCGCGATCCAGGGGTCCCCCGCGGCGGCGTCACGGAGCCAGAGCACGGCGGAGGCGGCGTCGTCGTAGGCGGCGGGGAGGCGGTGCTCGGGCGCAAGGCGGTAGTCGAGGGAGACGACGATGGCCGGCACGGCGGCGGCCATGGCCTCGCAGGAGGCGTGGTAGAAGACGCTGCCGGTGGAGAAGAGGACGAAGCCGCCGCCGTGGAAGTAGAGGATGACGGGGAGCTTGGACGTCGGCGGCGGCGGCGGCGAGGCGGGGTTGGGGAGGTAGAGGCGGAGCGACGTGGCGAGGGAGGCGTCGAGCGGCACGTCGCGGGAGAGGACCGGGCCGGTGGCGGAGGGCGGCGCGTCGGGGACGAAGGGGCGCGTGATGGTGCCGTCCGGGTGGACGACGATCTGCATGAAGAGGTTGTTCGACTTGTCCGTCGACGGCGCCGCGGCGGCGGTGACGTCACCCATGGTGTCGGGGGCTTGCTCGCTCTGTTTCTTCTTGGATTTGGGAAGATAATTAGTGCTTACCAGCCTCGTGAGCATATATAGTGTGTAATCTTTGGTTGAAGTCTTTAGTTTGTGTTTTTTTCATATCATGTCAGTGTGGGGGTGAGTTTGTTTACATATGTATTTTATAATAATTGAGTGTAGCTTATTTGAGCAAATACCTAAACGTTATTGCATTATTTATAATAACATCATTAATTATTACACTCTATTTAAAGATGATATCAGATATTTTAAAATAAATAGAGATGATTTTAAATGCTCGAACAGTAAGGTTATGGACAATGGCATGATGTGCACGTGTAGTTTTTTTTTTTATGGTGATGGATCATGGAAGCAAGAAACAGAGTTGAGCTAACGAGTAGGCGTCGTTTTTTAAGTTGTGATAATAAGTATACTTGTACTGTCACGGTTATCAAAAGGGAATTGAAGTCTTGGCAAGTTGGCAACTAAGGGCCTGTTTAGTTGGTAAAGAGAGAAGCCAAACAAAAGGCCTGTTTAGTACTTTAGTTGGTGAAATAAAATTTTTGGGTGTCACGTCGGACGTTTGACCAGATATCAGAAAGGGTTTTGGAAGACGAATGAAAAAAACTAATTTCATAACTCGCTTGGAAATCACGAGACGAATCTTTTGAGCCTAATTAAGCCGTCATTAGCACATGTGGATTACTATAGCACTTATGGCTAATCATGGACTAATTAGGCTCAAAGGATTCGTCTCGCGATTTACATGCAAAATGTGCAATTAGTTTTTCTTTTTATCTATATTTAATGCTCCATACATTTGTTCAAAGATTCGATGTGATGCTTTTACGAAAAGTTTTTTTGTGGAACTAAACAGGCCCAAAATAGAAGCGTGCATAAGGGTAATAAGAAAATTTAGTAATAAATAACATTTTTATAACAGTTAAAGTATTTCTTGTCTCAACTATTGTAAGTAGATAGTCATTAATTTAAGAGTCCCACTACGATGCTCTATATTGGTAGTAGAAAACAATAAGAACCATTGAGCTAATTTGAGCAAATGGATCAGATATATTTTACTACACCCTAATTAAAGGTAGTAGAAACGTGGAGACGTATTATTGTAAAAAAAAATATATTGAGGGGGGTATAATTGTCATTTAAACAATGATTGAATCCCCTCCTAAGCTTTTTAGATGGAACATGAGCGATGTCAGCACAAAGAATGACTATAGATCGATCTAGTCGGAAAAAAAACATAAACAAAGTTACGCTTAATCACTATATTAGTAAATTACTAATTTAACTTTGATAACGAACGGTTCAAATCATTTCTACTGGTAGTATAATATTATTAATATAGAGCAGCGGAGCATCGTTCTTAATTTAAATTACATATATTTTGTTATAAAAACATATTTGTTTAAGAGGATATATCACACACTATCTTTGAACATGTCGACAAAGGTTGCATACTTCCAACCACCCACTTTGGCGATCGAACAACTAATGCAGACTGTTTGTCGAACTTTCTTCCTTGTTCGATCTGCAGAGGAAGCTCAAAAAGGCTACCTGTGGCGCAAGAATATCGCAATTGTGGCTGTCGTCGAGTGACGCATGCACCATTGCTGCTGCTGCATTTAAACAGGATAAATAAATTGAATAAACCTGCAGCTGATCGAGCTCATCTCCGGCCTTCGTTGAGAATTTGTCTCCTTAAGAACTGTGGCTGATTGAGCTCCTCCAAATTCGTTTGTATTAGGAGGGTCACGTCCCTTTCTAAGTTAAGTTATTTTTAGGACGAAGTAAGCAGCAAGTAGCAGTGGCAGTTGTGCTCCCTTCTCTTAAGCTCTTTTTGCTTCCTGCAAGGAATGATTGTGGCTTAATGCATAAATATGACGGATAAAAATTAAAGTTGGATAGCAAGTCAAAAAGATCTGTAAAAGCAGGGGAATGCACACCTTGTTGACTCAAAGCAGACAACAGATAGTCCAAAAGATGACTTGAGCATTCTGACAGAGTGCTTAAGGTGCTTCCTAAAACTTTCTTAATTAGCATCGGCTTCTTACTTAATTAATGTCTTTGGCCATTCAAAACACAAGCACATGGCCACTTCGCCATCGATAATATGATAGTGGTGGGGGGTCAGCATCATCATATCGCCATCGATAATGGCATGAAACATTTATCCCACACGGTTGCCCGGTAAAGAGGCCAGCACAAATAACGCATAGAAAAGTAGGATAACGACTTAACGAGTCATAAAAAATAGAGAAAGAAATGAGAAAAAGCAGGGAAAGAAGCTTTGCATTGCACACCATATTGTCTCAAACTCAAAGGACACAGCATACATATATGAATATAGGGGCATAGGACACAGCATATCGGCACTTATAATCTCTTCTCTACTATTATAAAAATTAAAGATGTTTTTGTCAGTATTTTGGTATGTCATTCGTATTTGAGTCGGTTTTTAAGTTCGTTTGCTTTTGAAAATACAGATCTGTGTATGAGTCGGATTTTCAGTTCGTTTGCTTTTGGAAATACAAAAGATGTCATATAAGAATTTTCTTTAAAAAACTTGCACGCTAACTTGAGATGAAAGTCGGACTCCTAATTACAGCTCATTATTTTCTAAAAAGAAATTCGAGAGAATTCCCATGGTGAATTTCATCCTAGCTAAACCGTATAAGAATAATAAGATTAAAATAGCATTCACTCGTTGCAAAGCACATACATTTTTTCTAGTAATAATATTGCAACCAAGGATTACTTGCGGATCAGCCCACAAACCATTTATAGGCCATTAAATGGGTCATAGCCCATCTACGGGTGTACGGGCTGGCCCACTTATATCCTTATTGCAACCTGGTCCAAAATATTTATTACTGTGTGTACTAATCGTTTGTACTAGAAAATAAAGGATCAAAATTGCGTGAGAAGAGTGAAAGTCATCATCATATAATACGTAGGATAACCAAGGATCAAAGTCGCAGGGCTTATGTGAACTTTTATCCGAATTTTTATTTTCGGCCCAGCATATGTTGGGCTGTTTCTTTTTTTGCTCGTGTCTATTTCTCTTTCGGGCTTAGTAGGCCTTCTTTTAGAATAGGCCGAATTCAGGCAGATGGGCCTCACTGCCCATGCACATGTTTTTTTCTCAAAAAAAAAGTTTTTTTTTCAATTTATATAACACAGAGTTTGTATGTTATTTGTATATGTACAACTTTTGTACGTATTTTTTCTTTCTCAAAATGTTTTTTCAATTTGTAGATACAAAACTTTTACACATATATGTATAAAATTCCGATGTATTTTTTTTTCATATGTATGTGCAAAGCTTATATATATGAATTATATATATAACGTTATATGTATAAATTTTCTGTGCATAACAATTTTGGGCCAGTCCAATAATTAAGCGTAAGAAAAAAAAGAACATGAGAGATGGGAGGAAACAGGGACGACCGAGAGAAGTGGGTCTCTGAGGCGACATGTGCCGCTCCCGCGCGCGTGACCCACTGTGTATTAGCGCTGCCTAAATAAAAGAAAAGAAAAGAAACTGAGGAACTCTAACTGAGGAATCAATTCATCCTAAAATAAGTTAACTAAAATAAGTTAACTTTGTACAATATATAACACATCATAATACTAAAAATTTAGATTGGATTAACTTATTTTAAGACGGAGGGAGTACGTTGTTTTTTTTTCCATTCCACACAAATGGACCAAACGGTTTATAAGTGATTATATTTCAGCTCCCATACAACCTATAGTGTGCTAACGTAACCTTGAATTTTAGCTCAGTGGCTTGTCGTTTTCTCGTTTTCTGATAAGTAATATCAGGATTACGTTCTGTATGAACTCTTTTTTTTTTTAAGTAAAGCTGGGCGAAAGCCTTTTCTCCAAAATATCAGGATTACGTCTCAGCTCACCACAAAGCCCACAAATCATCGGATTCATATTTCCGTCTCTTTCAGAGCAGGATTTCAGTTATCCAGGTGTGTTCTCCAAACATCCAAAGATCTAGACAGACCAGGTTACAAAGAACAGTGCCAACAATGGTGTAAATTTCTATCTCCATCCTTTATTTATCGGCAATACACACAATATTTGTAGTATATATCATTATCTTTTCATACATATTTAGCTGAAAATATATTAAGTATACATTCCTAGATGAAAGCATAGATGGACATTCTCCAGCTAACACACCAGCTCGGAAAAATTGTTTCGTGCCGATGAACAGAGCCGAACATAACTGAACTCTCACTAACATTTGACTTGAGTGTATTTGATTGATGGAGTGACATCAGCATCTAGCAGTGTTTTAAATAGCAGACTAAGATATTTTGTGGTAGATTATCTCAAACGGTAAATAACAGCTAAAATGCATATGAGAGTAAATAGCTAGATCATTTTCGAATAGCTAGCTACAATTATAGCCCGAGATTTAAAACCTTTGGTATCTAGGCGGAGTAGAGCTGAGGGTTGGAGAGCCTCGGCGTGGGCACGGCGACCAGCGGCGTGGCCTTCTTCATCACGATGCCGAACCGCTCGGCGAGGTCCAGCCGCTCGCCGGCCGGCAGCTCCCAGTCGAACGCCTGCACCAGCATCGCCAGCGAGTAGGCCACCATCCGCTCCGCCATGGCGACGCCGGCGCAGATCCTCCTCCCGGACCCGAACGGCATGTACTCCTGCTCGCTCCCGGTGAAGTCCAGCCTCCGCCCTCCGCCGCCGTCCGCCGGCAAGAACCTCTCCGGGATGAAGTGTTCCGGGTCCTTCCACACCGCCGGGTCCCTCTGGATCGCCCACACGTTGACGAACACCCGGGCGCCCGCCGGGACGCGGTGGCCGCCCACCGTGGCGTCCTCGCCGGGGCAGTGCGGCACCATCAGCGGCAGCGCCGGGTGCAGCCGGAGCGTCTCCTTGACCACCAGATTCAGGTAGTGCAGCTTCGGGAGGTGGCTCTCCTCCACCACGCCGTCGCGCCCCACCACCGCGTCGAGCTCCTCCCGCACCTTGCGCAGCGTCCCCCTGTTCTGGAGCATCTCCGCCATGCCCCATTCCACGGTGTTCGACGTCGTCTCCGTCCCCCCGATCACCATGTCCTGCAGCCAAATCACACAGCCATGAATGGTGGTGTCGTCGTCTCCGACGCCGGCAGTGCAGTGACTGAGCAGTGAGCACTTACCATGAGCAGGGCCTTGACGTTGGTCATGGTGAAGGCGGTCTTCCCGTCGCCGCCTTCCTTCTCCAGCTTGAGCATGTACTCGAGGAAGTCCGACGCCGTCTCGCCGGCGGCGGCGGCATGGTCGGACTCGGTCCTCTTCTGGATGATCCTGGCGAAGATGTCGTCGAAGCGGTCCTTGAGCAGGTCGGACTTGTTGCGGATGCCCTGGATGTCGAGCGGCGCCAGCGCCGGGAAGAAGTCGGACACGTTGGGCGCGCCGAGCAACTCGGTGATGTCGGCGACGAGCTCCCGGAACTCCTTCCCCACCGTCGTCCGCTCGCTCTCGCTGCCGACGTTGCCGCCCCACAGCGCGCCGGTCACCACGTTCATCACGGTGAGGAACATCTGCGCGCCGACGTTGACGGGCTCGCCGGACCGCGCGCGCAGGTGGTGGAGCGTGGCCATGAACTCCCGGCGGCGGAGGCCGTGGAGGCTGTCGAGGCCGGCGGGGCCGATCATCTCGTGGACGCAGATGCGGCGGAGGAGGCGCCACGTGGGGCCGACCGGGTTCCACACGATGTTCTGCCCGCCGCCGTAGGAGATGGAGCACGCGGCGTCGGGCGTGTCGCGGTTGGAGAAGACGAGGTCGTGGTCGCGCAGCACCTCCCGCGCCAGCGCCGGCGAGGTGACGACGACGCCGAGCTTGGAGCCGAGGCGGATAGAGAAGATGGGGCCGTACCTGGCGGCGAGGCCGGCGAAGTAGGTGTGCAGCTCCGGGTCGAGGGACAGCAAGCTGCCGACGAGCGGCAGCCCCGTCGGACCCGGCGGCAGGCCGGCGCCGCGGCCGCGCCGGACCGCGACGGCGAGGTACAGCAGCGCCGCCGCGAACAGGGCGGCGTAGAGCAGCATCGCTGGGGTGGATGTCACCTCCATGACTGCCAAGCAATCGAGATATTAATGCACTCTTAGGTGGAAAATGGAGCTAATCCATCAACCTATTTAGGGTGTATTCGGCACCCTCTTTTCTCAACCCCTCTCTCTCAATTTTTCACGCGCACACTTTTTAAACTGCTAAATGATACGTTTTTTGCAAAAATATAAAAAATTTCTTTAAAAATCAAATTAATCTATTTTTGAAAAAAAATAGATATAATTAATCACGCGCTAAATGGATCGCTCCGTTTTCCATAATTACAACTCCCTTCGTATTTTAATGGATGACGCCGTTGACTTTTTAACTAACGTTTGACCTTTCGTCTTATTCAAAAAATTTATATAATTATCATTTATTTTATTGTGACTTTATTTATCATCAAATATTTTTTAAGCATGATATAAGTATTTTTATATTTACATAAAAAATTGAATAAAATGAATGGTTAAACATTAGTTAAAAAGTCAACGGCGTCATATATTCAAATACGGAGGAAGTATTCCGGATGGGAACCAGGATACCCGAACACAGCCTTATAGTATAAATAGATTAATATGGTTTTCAAGCAATTTTTCTATAATTGTATTTTCAAAACACAATCGTTTAACTGTTTGAGAATTGGCTTATTCGAAAAACGAATGGATAGAAGTTAGGAAAGGGAAGAAAATAACATGCCCTAAGCTAAGCTAGCTGCAAATCCACATATATAAATCCTCTTGATCAAATGCAATCCCAACCAAACACGGCAAGACGACGAGGATTTCATGGATTGCTCCGCCGGAAGGATCAGTGCGAGTGGACGGAAGCGCGCGGTGGATGGCACGATGGAGATGCCGAGTTTGTTTCGTTCTCGATCGACTTCTCGCGCCAAAAACAAGGAGGGACGTAGGAGGAAGAGAAATGGACAGGGGGCACTGGCCAGTGACATCTACTCTCTCCGTTTTATAATATAAGTCATTTTAACATTTTTCATATTCATGTTAATGTTAATAAATCTAGACATATCTATCTATCTGGATTTATTAACATTAATATAAATATAGAAAATACTAGAATGTGTAACGGAGGAAGTACTACCAATCTAGAAGAATCTTGTTATGTTTTCTCACAGCCTCATCTGGATATTTTTGTTCAAGGAAATTATACCATGATTGCTGACGAATAAACGAAAATGGGGGTAAATTATTGTGGGTTGCCCTGTCATGTCAGGTACTCAGGTGTAGTGTAGCTCGTGCATGCCCTCGTGCGAATAAACAAGTCATGGAATCAGGCACTTAAACCAAGAGTAATCCATCCGTCTCAATATAAATACAACATCCGTTATATTTTAAATACAACCATGAGTTTTCGTGTTTAACTTTGATCGTCCCTTTTATTTAAATTTCTTTTATGATTAGTATTTGTATTGTTATTAGAGCAAGTATAATAGTAGGGTATAAGCTGGCTAAATGCTGAGTCGGAGGAGAAAAGAGAGGAGAAACGAGCTGTAAATTTACAGCCGGCTTGGATACAAGAACCAAGAAACTCTGTGAGAGAGACAAGTGGATTCTGTATTAATTGTAAAGAGCTAACTATTAGAGAAGTTTAATAGTATAGCCCACTACAAGCTCTAATTCATCTATAACCGATCTAATAGCCAATTCATACAATAGTTGCTTACTATACTATTAATATGTGGTCCAACTTGTCATACACACATTGTGTCTTGGAGTCCGTGCTGCAGCTGGCTACAAATCTATAGCCCGCTGCTCTTCTCTCTCATCTTTTATCTCGTTAAAATATATTTATAGTTGGCTAATAGTCTGCTATTGTACCTGCTTCTATGGGTAGACTGAGAAAAGACTACAAAGAACCTTATATCCAATAGGTTGTCTGTATTATTAGCCTTGCTCTTAAATAATAAAACATGAACAATACTTTAGGCATGACTTGTTTTTTAAATTTTTTTTTAAAAAAATATTTTAAATAAGACGGACGATTAAAATTGAACACGAAAACTCGTGACTGCACTCAAAATCGGACGAAACGAGTGTAGAATATACTCATCTGAAATCATCTGAAGATTGCATATCCTTGACCATTCAATCTCAGGGAGGGGAGGTCAGGTCACATGGGCTGTCTTGGCTGGGATCGTTACTTGTGTTTGGAAGCAAATCACCCTCCCACACTAAAAACGGAGTGACCTATTAACACATGATTAATTAAGTATTAGCTAATTTTTTTAAAAAAAATAAATTTATTTATTTATTTTAAGAAACTTTTGTATATAATTCTTTTTAAAAAATCACATCATTTAGCCATTTGAAAAGCGTGCGCGTAGAAAAAGAGGGGAGTGAGTTTGCTACGGGTAGTACCTAGTTTCAATGATTCGGCTATGGCCATATATCTCTATCTTGTTGACACGAATCGATAACAAAAGTACTAAATTTTCATATATATTCCAATTAAATTGTTGTTAAAATATTGACATACTAAAATTTTGATAACAAAAGTACAACAAATTTCATATCTATTCATATAAAAATGTTATTAAATTTTCACTAATTTGTAGAAAATATACCGTTTAACAGTTTGAAAAATGTGCTAAAAAAACGAGATAGAATCCACATGTTAATAAAAAAGCGGAGGTAATGCAGACTTTAGCACTTGATGGTGGTCGAGTCATTAACATTTTAGACAGTGTTTTATTCACTGTTTCCAACTTCACCCACTCATTTTTCACACGTACGTTACCAAACTATTAAACATAACTTAAAAAAATCATATTAATATATTTATTTAAAAAACAAGTAATATCAATTAATTATGTACTAATAAGTAGTTCCGTTTTACATTTGCGAGAATGAGTTCCCAAGTCAGTTTGCCGAACTCAGCCTAGTGCTGTTAATCTCAGTCTCTTTGCCCGTGTTCCGGGGGGGAGGGGAGGAGGGACACACACATCCACGGGCCTGTCTGGTGCCCATGAGTAAAAGGAAAATACTTTAGCTTACCTAAATTGGTGACAAGGCACCACTGATATTAAAATTATTAGCTATTACTTCTTTTGGGATATGTCCAAATTTATAATATTATGATATGTCAAATTTCTCAAAATCCCTTATATTTTAGGACGGACGGAGTAACAAGTTTAATGGTAGAATAAATATTAGCTATTAGCTCATATTAAACCTAATATGTAGTATAATATATAAGTTTATCTCTATATTTTTCTTATATCTTTTTTCATCCATACATTTATCTTAGAGTACATGACTATATGAGCCAACATTCTTTTTTTCTATAAGTTCTCTTACCTTCATGTAAATTTATAGTTACTCGAGTTTGAGTAGTTTATAGGCACTTGCTCCAATTTGAGTTGCGGTTCCCACCAACATGTGAGGAAGACACTGATCACTGTGTTAGTCACTTCAGCTCTCTCTCTGTCTGTACCACAAAGTGGAGCCGGGTGGATTAGGCAGATAAGCACAGATACAGGACAGCAAATCAGCTGTGTTAAATTCAGCCCATTTTGCTACAGAAAAACGGCCCAAAAAAATAAGTTGACCCTTTAAGGCCCATATGGCCGTACACAGCTCATCCAGATTCCAGAACACTGATCCCTCCGGCCTTTGCAGCCCATAAAAGCCCATTATTCTCTCTCTCCAGTCTGCAACACTAAATGTTTCTACACTAACTTGACAGTCTTGAATGACTACCACTTTTCATATAGGTCACACTCCCTAATAGCAATAGGGAGTACTCCCTTCACTAAGTTGTTTAGACTTTTTATTAGTTAAACTTATTTAATTTTGATCAACTTTACGTAGAAATATAGTACCATTTCTAACACAAAACAAACATATTATCAAAATATATTCAATGATAGATTTAATAAAACTAAGTTGGTGTTTTAGATACTGCTATTTTTTTCTATAAATTTGATCAAACTTAAAAGAATCTAAATAAAAAAAAGTCAAAACAACTTTTAATATAAAACGGAGGGAGTAGTATAAATTTGATCAAACTTAAAAGAATCTAAATAAAAAAAGTTAAAACAACTTATAATATAAAACGGAAGGAGCTGTAGAAATTAAGCAAGTAATCGACATTGGGAGGTACCAGGATAGCAACCTGCCTCCTGTTTCAGTCATATCAAATACAGTAATAATTTATAAAAGAAAAACATAGTCGTAAGTCGTATCATATCATTATGATACTTCATCATCATTACAGCTTTCTTAATCTGTGATAAACTAGGGCAGCTTGGATCTCCCTGCACCATTGATCAGTATGTGCAGTCATCACTCTTGATCAGAATCTGAAGTCATGCATACGAAATCTTCAGTGTTTAATTCCACCATTGATGAGGGATTAAACAAATGTGTGATAAAGATCACCCAACCTTCAAAACATTATCTAATTCCATTACGCATGCATGAATTTGTTTGTGAGGGCTAGCTTTCATCGCGTCGACTTTGTTGCAAGCTCAAGAAAATATCTGACAGTGATGGAGCCGTCAGGGTGGTAGAAAGAAAGCAAGTCAATTTGCAAAGCAGTTCTTTCTGACAGGTAGCCATCCTGCAACGAGTTATGAGTTCTAATCCTCTCATTGTTGCTCGTTACCTTAGTTACCTTATTAGCACAACCCAAATTTATTTTTTTAAACGGGGTTTGTGGGTTTTATTTCACTGTACTATATTCTTTAAGCATTGGCTTATAAATCACTAATAACACAGATATAAAGTTATTTTTTTTACCATGAATTATGTTTGTAACTTCGTTCCATTTTCTGCAGAAGATAAACGCAAATAAGATAGCGTAGAATTGATCATTTGTAAGTTTAGTATAGATATATTGCATCTTTCTATAACATCAGCAGTGCGAACAGCTGACGTTGTCCTAGCTTACTGACCCCCAATACATGATAAATCTTTGTCAGGAAGACGGAGAAAACAGTGCATCGTTCCAACTCTGAATGTACAAAATCCGAGTTGGTCAGTTTCAATAAAACTGATCTACCGTGCAATTGTCGTTATCGCTTACCAAATCCATGTTAACTTTATTAAGCAATTTGCTCTTGTAGTAGCATCAACATAATCCATTAAAATGCATTAAGTATAACAGAACCCCCCAAAAAGTATCAAGCAAACAACGTTTATTCATATACATGTATGGTGGTGAATGGCTAGTAGTTCTTGTGAGCTACTGCTACTAACCGGTGGAGAGATTCTCCATAGGAAAATGCCTTATCAAGAGAAAAAAAAAAGTAGTTTACACTGCCATCTATTTGGATATCAGAGTGCCACGTCACCTGGAGAATGGAGATGACCTCTCATATTTCTGAACAGAAGCATGTATACATGCAAACGTGTCTATAAGGGTTTCTAGTTCTACAACCTTTCATCTATGAGAAATATAGGTTCTATAAACACAAAGCCCTTGGTTTTAAGGGTGGAACATCACTATTCTATGTTCTGAATATATCTTGTGCTTGTGTCTGTCAAGGCACCTGGGAGAACTGGTCTTGTTATCATCCACAGCTTGGGACACAGTGCACCTTGCTCTCTTTTCACAATCTTCTGCACCTACCAGCCATGCACAATTTGTATGCCCCTTCAGTCTAAAAGTTCAATCCATCTGAATTCTGAACCCTTGCACCATCAATCAAGCTCGAATCGTCCATGCTGAAGTCTTGGTAGTCAAGCAGCCAGTCTGTTGTGCTTCCATCCCATGCTGACTGCTTAACGATGCCACTGAAGTCATCTTCATTGCTGCTAGTAAAATTTAGCCATGGCTCGTCAGCTGGAAGCTCTGCCTCCAACAGCCAGTTCACCAATGGGTCCAGGCCATGACTGCTGGTGTTCCTGCTTGACTGCTCCATCGAGTCTGTGGGCACTGACATGTCCCTGCTGCAGCCTCCCTCGGGATCGAACGGATATGCCATACCATTTGACTTGGCTGATTCGGTTGTGGCAGTGGACAGCGTGGAGGTTCTTGTTTGGCTAACCACCTTGGTGTTGGGCAGAGGCTGATGTGTGGCTGGGTCGATGCCCATCTTGATGAGCTTCTTCTTGATGTGCGTGTTCCAATGGTTCTTGATCTCGTTGTCTGTTCTCCCTGGTAATTTGGCGGCGATCTTGGACCATCTGTGTACGGATACAAGGTATCAAGAATCAAGAGTAATGAAAATGGTAATGTTATTCCAGTAAAAAAATATGGTAATGTTATCTTCTTTGTGCAAGGAACCGAAAGGGTGAAAAAGACAAGCCATTCGACCAATTTCAAGTATTTTCCCAGTTTGCTAATGATAGCAGTGTATTCGATATCATGTTTCAACATTTTTTGCACTAAGCTAGGTTGATTACGACATGATTGGTGCTATCACTTTTACTTTGTAGCCTTTGAATTGTTCTATTTCTTTCTCTCTCTGGTTCATCTACATAACATATGGAGGTTACATCAACATAACATTTGTCGGTTTAGAGGGCAATAACAAAAACAAGCATTACTATTCCATTATTCTTTTGAGTCACATTAGCATCATTGTAATGACCAAAGGCACGGAACAATAAATCAACAACAGAGGTTACAGAGAAGAAGATAATAAAAGGAACAAGAATCACTCATTCAGGACCTAGTGAAATAATGACATGCAAAACCCACGGGTTAATTAACTGTCAAAAATGTCGAACGCTGATACAGTTGCACTTAGACAGCTAACAGTAAGTTTTTAGAAGATATGAGGTCCTATTATCAGCAATTTCCTTTCCAGATAGATTATTCTAAGCAGTTCCAACAAAAATGTTAACCAAGGGTAGCTTACTCTCAGTATATAAGGACTTGTTTCATTCTAAACAAAGTACTAATAGTTTTTAGATAAGCTTGTAGTGATTAATAGTCATGGAGGCAGACTGGAGGTTTGAGATTTGACAAGGATACCGTGTGCATATGACTTTGACGCTCTTGGTTAAATTCAGCTGGTTGAGTATTGGGCACATATAGTCATTTGCTAATTAGTTGTATACAAAAATAATCTCAATTATTTTGTTGGGACGCCAATACTGATATTAGATAGCAATCTGTCATACTATCTATGCTCCTTTACTTTCAGCTTTAGAAATTGATATGATCTGTAGCACACACCTTCGACCATCATTTTTTCTCAATCAAGATTTCAAGTATAATTATACGAAGAAGTTACATGAAAAATTAAAAATCTAGTAATCTCATTTTGAAATAACAAATCCAAACAGTTTGATGCATATTAGTGGTCAAAGCTTTATGAGTTTGATCCATAAAAGAAACAGAGGGAGTGATGTATCACTATGCATCTTGTAATAATTAATAAATGCATGCATGCATACATCATGTTTTTTGTTCATATACATAGTAAACATACTACAAGTTAAGTGCTCATACGATCTTTAGAAACACAAATGCACTGCTTCTAAAGCATACCAAGAGATTGATATGTAACTACACACTGCTACATACACGATGCACACACTAACTGCATGCAATTTGGTTTTTGAGAAGCATTGTGGCACCACTGCTCATTACCATGAAGTTTTGCTTTACCTATATTCCGTTTTTCCTGGATGCTTCTAAACTTAATCAAAAGGAATTCACTCATGGGTTCATGCCCAGGAATGCATGCAGATAGCATTTTCTAGCATAGCAGGAGGCAGATGGATCAACATATGAGATGCCCTATATGCAAGCTTATAAGCGTGCTACAATATATCATATCATATCATGAGATATCCATGCAAGTAGGCGTACCTGTTACCAAGCTTGGCATGGAGGTCCACAACAAGCTGCTCCTCGTCTGCGGTGAGGAGGCCACGCTTGAGGTCAGGGCGGAGATAGTTGGTCCACCGCAACCGGCAGCTCTTGCCACAGCGCAGCAGCCCTGCCAACTTAGGCACTGCTCGCCAGCAGCAGCGGCCATGTGTCAGGATGAAACTGATGAGCTTCTTGTCCTCCTCTGCCGTCCATGGCCCCCTCTTCACCTTCTTCTTGTCACAGCACGGCTGCCTCCCCATTTGCTAGTTACTGCAGACTTGCACCAGATAGATGGAATCCTGTATAAAATGAACACTTATAAATTTCTAGTGCTTGCACATGTCCAGTGAGCTGCAAAACTCCTGTGCACAAGCGTCAGATGAAAGGGTGGTGACAGCTCTGTTGCAACTGCAATTGGTGTCTGTGCTTGCATATTTATAGGTCAGCTCCTCACTTCCTCAGTTTCTCGAAAAAAATGTGTCTTTCATGAATTTTGTGTGGTGGTGATGATGATTTGGCTTAATTTAGTGTGCTTAGAAAGCAAGGCCTCAATCCGTGCTACAGTAGACTTGCACCCAAAAATCCACATATATGCATTGCTGCAACGTGGTGCATCTACAGTTTAGTTGTTGATCGAATTTACAAATTAAGTATAAAAAATATGTACTATTTTATTAGCACAGCAGCAATTTGGTCGCACATGATGCTACAGGAAACTCAGATGTGATTTTCTCTGGAATGAAGTTGCATTTTAACTAGTATTTTTAAAGCTTTTGCTGCTTTCATTTCCCACAAGGCTACACATTTATGCTGCCTTTGCTACCCACCTATGTAGCCATTTCGTCATCAGCTGTGAACTATAGCTAACTGCTAACCAAAGTACCAAACCATTTGAGGAGCCCCCCTAACTTCATGTGATTGCTGTGAGCTGTAACTCATCGTATGGACCAGAATAATGACTTTGAGCACATGGTGGTGTATATTTTGCTACAGTAATATGTAGAAAAATAATCACGATCAGTGACTCCAGTGGTGAAAATTGTCATACAAGATACAGGCAATTTAGGATGTCATAGCACTGAATTTCATGACATCAGCTTTCAGTAGGCAAGAACTCAACCAAGTGATTTCTTCTGGCATACATGTACAGGTGCAAATTGTTTTTCTAGGGCTTGTTCGGTTAATACCGAAGAGGAAGGGATTGGAGGGGATTAATTCCACACCTCAATAGGTGTGGAACAAATCCCCTCTAATTCCCCTTCAATCCCCTTCTAAGAGGGATTAACTGAGCAAAGCCTTAAGGAACCAATGCTAAGTCTGTTGGGGAAAAAAATTACAAGTATACCTGGGGCTGGGACATACTTTGTCAATAGCAACACTGAAGATGGAAAGAGTCACAAACATAAAAATATCAACCATGTCATATATCAGCTTCCTCGAATATGCAATTACTCATTTACTTTACGATCAACCAGAAAAGGCTAGCCTCCAATAGCTCTGCCGATATCTAGGCATTAAAGCATATCAGGAAAAACAGTAACTAATTGATTTGAGTTGAGAAAACAGTGCCCACCATCAGTAACTTTCAAGTACCCTGTTCCATCAAACAACTGATTCAATGTGCAAGATAACTGATTATTTTGTAGCAGGATACAAAATGGAAAACTAGTGAACTATGAACTGTATGATCTAGGCATCTAACCACACTCTTCAGATCCTACTCACCACAGGAACGGGAAAAGAAATGGATAATTGTACCTTCACCCAGAAATGACAGCAAGGGATAGCTTATTATCTGTGGGCACACAACAGAATCTGCCGACATGAAGAAGAAAATGACCTTGTGCTGTAACAAGATAACAATGTCAGCTTGGTGATACATACTTTGGAGTATTGATGTAAGAAGGGGACATTCAATCAATCAATCAGCAAGCTTGTAACCAAGCTATCTATTAGTAGATGTAAGATTTACATGTGTACTTAGAATGTTGAAACCAAGCTCATTGTGTATTTTCTGGAAGTCATACTCCAGATTTCAAGAAGTGATATATAAAACTACAAAAAGTGAGAACAAACTCTTGAGAAAACATATGCTTAGGAAACAAACACTCTGTAAGGAATGCATCTGTTGTATATTTACACCCAGTGCCGTTGCATGTTTCTGAGATGAAACAGTAAATAAACGTAGCTTTTAGAAGAAGGAAACTCCCATCATCATGGGAGTAATTTTCTTTCTAGTCGGTTGGTCTATTCCATCCTGCCTTCCACTATCTGTAGTCTGTACTAGTTAGAATCAATGGACTGCATTTCTAGATGAGAAGATTTAGCTGACATCATCCAGTTGGTATTATCATGCAAAATTGGTCCTGAAAAAAACTAAACAGGAGGGATTATCTGGGAATAGTAACTTCAACATTTTTCTCTTGTTTTTCCCCCTCTTATGTGAGAGGGGTAGTTGATTATTCAGTGCCCAACTTCAAGCAAGCTTGTACAGTAGGACTTAGTGGGAGGTCTGTGTGTCCTTTCAGTATAACTTCTGGCTGCTTCCCTGAAGCTCTGACTATACCTTGACAGGATAGGAAGATATTACTAAAAGAACAAGTGACATTATCTATATATGAGGTCATTTAATAATAAAAACCCTTCAAAATTACATGTGCATGTAAGTGAGACTACCAATATTTAGGCTCCTCAGTCCTCACCAACCCATCTGAGTTACAGCTTTCAAGTAAAAGACCTGACACTTTCAAGTCCGTACCATGATTCTCCAATGGTTGAGCTAGTCAATGTTATAGATAAGATCACATAGAAGTAACCACTGAGCTACCATCTCGTGTTTGTGCAGTAACCACTAACCAACAGGCTCATGATTCCATTAAAATGCAAGGTTTTAGACAGATTACATGGATTTGGTATACATTCGATGGATATGGTTAGTTGATTACTGCTCATGTAACGGAGGTGGCTAGCTTTTAAAATGCATGAAAAAGAGAATGGGTCTAGTATTTCCATCACTACATCAGCTAAATGCACTGAATAACAACCTGGATTACCAACCTTCCAGCTAAGAAAACGCGTAATCGATGCCGCTTAACATTAAAGGTACTCTTGATTAGAGGGTAATTTATATATTTAGGTTTTGAATATTGATCTTCATGGCCACTTTGCGTTTTGAACTAAGGTACCCTCAGTAAGGTATCCCTCTTGCTTTATTTAGCAATTAGCACAATGACTTTCTGAAAAGGTTGAAAGAAATGACTGGGCTTAAAGGAAAATGTTGTGCCTGCCTCTTCAGACAAAAATATAATTAAAAAATGCTAGGAAGTGTAGCTTGTCTACCTACAAAATCATCCAAGATTGATCACTCTATCTGACAGATAATGAGAGCATGGAATTAGTTCTAGCAGGCTGTACCAACGGCATATGCATGACAAATTGGCAATGCTAATAGTAAGCTAACAATTAGAACTGGAATGCTCCTCTTGTTCATTCATTGGCATCGTTCCCGAATACGACCCAACGCAGCATGGAGATCTTGTGTGCATTCCTCGATTCAGTCTCAAGCTATATTGTTGCCGATGCTGAATTACATGAGCACACGGAAGTATTGGTCTTCCAAGATATCATCATAAGACAAAAGTACCAGAAGAAGGGACTAGACTGTACAAAACCTACACCCTCATGGGTCCTTGCTGCAACCAAACTCTACGACTTCGCGTATCTGCTCATGTCATTGCAGAGGACTACTACTGAAGGTTGCAAGGTGTTTCACATATTGTCATTCACATATAACAACACTTCACTAAAAACTAGTGTGAGAGGAGACACATGCCTCTAAATTTGGCCTACATCAAAGTTGTTCTTCCACCCCCAAAATCAACATGCATCGATCGGTTCATCTCATGGGGGGACAAGACAAGGGCGACGCATTCAGATATTGCGACCATGTGTGTCAGTAAGACAAGCAAGTATACCCACCAAGATCGCGGCAAGATCGGAAAGCTAGGGCACGGATCGCAGCGAGGAGATGTGTACAGGAGACTAGAAAGCGAAGCGAGCAAAAGTGCAGTGGAATCTTTGGTTGGTAATGGACGGAACGGGCGCACACTGACCGAGCGGAGGCGCGGACTTCGCCGAGGTGGCGGTGACGGCGACCTCGCACCCTTTCCCTTCCCCCACCACCGGAGGAGGAAGGGGAGGGCGCCGTCGGAGGGGAGGGCGTACGGCCCGCGCTTGGAAGGGGACGCCATTGACGAGGGCGCAACACAACAGTGCGTTGGATGGCGATGGCTGGAGGGCGAACTCCTGTCTTTTTCAGAAAGTTCAGATTGTTTTTTGTAGAAAACAATAAGGATTTGTTTGGAATGAACTCCCTCCATCCTTTTTTATATGTAACGTTGGTTAATTTAAAAATAAATATAAAAGCGTCAAATATGAAAATACAGAGGGAATATGAATTTCGTAGTCAATTCCACCTTAAATCCCTTCGAAATTCCTATGTTTTTTTTAAGAGGCCTAAACTCTTTTAAAGGTACACATTTTTTTATTCAATTGTTATGGACTGACCGGGTAAATAAAAAAATGAATTCTTGGAATTTTTCCTATGTTGACTTCGTTATATATGAAAGAGATGCATCCGAATGAAAAATAAAAATTGTTCATGTAGCAAAAGTAAAAAAAAAGAGCAAAATAAGGGTGGTGATTTGTTTTAAAGCGGAAAAGATATACTTTGACACCCTCGACTATGGTATCAACTATGGTATGAGTAATTCATATTCGAACACACAAATACCGGATATATTGATTTCTCCAACTATTAAAACGAGCATAAACGGTGACCCTGATTGATTTGGAAAACAGTTTTGGCTGACGTAGCATCTACGTGGCGGTGTTGATCTACTATCTGTCCCATGTGGTGTTTATGTGGCATTAGAATAAAAACAAAAACAAGAAAAATATGTGAGACCCATATATCATTCACCCAAAAAAAAAGATGGGACCCATTGACATAAGATGCACATGTCATCATTTGTCTGATTGTCTCCTTTCCTTTTTCCTCTTTCCTCACTCCCCATCTTTTTCCTCTTTCCTTTTCCCCCTTGCTACTGTTCGAAGCTCGTCCAACTCCCTTGTCAGCATCTTGTTCTCCTTCCTTGTCTGCTCCACCGTCATCATTGTATCCTCCTTTTGCGCCTCGGTAGCGCTCGTCACCGCCGTCGATGTTGGCGATGGCCACTTCTCGACCATTACCTCGCCAAGAACTAAGAATGACAGCCTCTGCATCGCCAGCGCAGACGCGCCCTTCTCCCTGCCGGTGGTCATCTCAACAGGTATTGTCAACACTTACCGGACGCGCACCACTACCGTATCGCCTCACACCGGGATGGCGCTCCTCATCGTCACCTCCGAATCCGATGTAGCAACCGCGGTGGGGGTCGACATCATCGGCGCCAAGCCACCTCAGTTAGCGGGAGAGTCAAACCGCTTGTGCACGACAAAGTCACCCAACAATGGCTTGAGGATGAGCGAGAAGGACATGGTATCGGCGGTTTTAACCTCGATAATCACAGTGATGGCTAAGGTAGCGGTGCCGAAGATAAAGAGGACGAGAAGGGACAACCGCCAGGGCTAGAGCTACGTGGGACGAAGACTAAATCAACACCACCCCATCAGCCAATACTGCTTCCCAAATCACCAAGGGGCACCAGTTTTGATAGTTGATATAGTTGGTTTTGTGTTGGAGGGCATGAATTATACTCGGGCCATCGTTGAGGGAGTCAAAGTATACTGTTTTCCTTTTAAAGCTCATCCATCAATCCCCTTAGCCAGCCCATGCACAACAGGTCATTCACCAGCCCAACACACCGTACCGAATGGGATTCGGCGCTACCGTGCGGGCCGTAGCAGATGGGCCGGAACGGGATTCACGTCAGGCCCGTACTATATGGGCTGTAACTCACGTGCGGGCCGTATCGCGTCAGATAACGTGGGTGGGGCCACAGTGGGGAACCGAGGCCCAGTTGCACGGCCTGCGTAGGGACCACGCACCCCCTCGCTGCACATAAAAACTGGGGCCCACAGCCCCGCACGTCTTGCCCAGCGACGACGCCCAGTGTGGACCGCTCGATCTCATCTGAACGGCCCAGATCGAAACGGGTCATATATTTTGCGGCGGGGGCCGCCGGCGACGTACGGCGAGCCATCCCGGCGGCGTGCAGGCGTGATTCTCGCTGCCGGAATTTCGTTTTTTTTTTTCTCTCCTCTCGCTGGAACCCATTACCCAAGGTCAAGAGGCCCCGGGCGATACGTTGTTTCTCACACAAGTCGTCGTCGTGGCCTGCGCGGTCACGCACCGTTCTCCACTCCACGAGGCGCATTAATAAACGATACGTGCCGGGCCGGTCAAATACCGGAGACCTTGATTAGGCAATACAGTAGAGATTATTAGAGAATCAGCAGATCAGATGGCTTGCCCCGGCCTACCACACATCTAAACGCTCGTCAGTTCGTCAACTTGTACCTATCTACACGAACACTAGCGAGTTGGTTGTTCTGGTCAGCTAATGGATTTTGTAACCCCAAAACCACACCATGACTCTATGACCAAAGCATAAAAACATTTTTTTTCTGGCTAAAGTTTTATTAGTATTGACGGAGCTTGGGGCTCCTCACCGGGAGACCGCGCAGGCCTCCCTTTGCCGGTTCGGCCGGGGGCTCTGGGTGAGGTTCTAAGCTCCTAGCCTGTGGAAAGTTCGCGAGAGTGGAAACACACAAGACACGAGCGATGTATACAGGTTCGGGCCGCTGAGAAGCGTAATACCCTACTCCTGTGTTTTGGTGGATCTGTGTATGAAGAAGCTACAAAAGAGCTGGAGAACCAGAGAGCTCTTACTCTCTCCCTCTCTGATCGTTCTGGATCCGAAAATTTCCCCTTCTAAGTGGGCAAGGTCCTCCTTTTATACCTCAAGGGGATACCACATGCACCATCTCTATCTTTTTTGTGGGGACTTATCCTATCTTTTCATAAACAGACGGAGACTTGTATGGTTGCCGTCCGAATGACCTTCTGATGGGACGGCCCATACCTACCTCCACTTCCGCCGGAAGCAGGCGCGACGTGGGAACATGGCTGTCTGCTGACGACATGACCAGTGTCAGACCGGTCACAAATCGGTCATTCTTGTCCACCACGCGTCAGTTTATCAATCTGCATGTTCGCCCCTCTTCATACAATGTCTTGTTTGTAATGGTTAGGATGAAGCCTGGTATATATCTGACCGGGACCAACGTGCCATCTCCAGGAGCTAACACGCCGGCTCCGGCTAGGGACGAGTGCTTGGAGGCTCTCATCCTGACGGGATGGGGCGAGGCGTGCGTCAGACCGCCTGTCGCCACCTAACCCACGATCTGATCGGTCTGTGACTGGTCACTGACCGGATAAACGAGCGCGCTGCACTGCGTTACATGCGGCGTGACGCGCTCGTCCAAACCGCAATAAATGTGGTTAGGTGAGCCCCGCTATGCTCACCTACCCCATATACGCGGCGCAAAAACCACAAGGGGTCGGGGCGCCTCGGCCCTCGGGGCCGAGACGGGAGCGGTCCGACCCCTCGGGGAGACAAAGAGAAGGGCGGCCGTATCACCCTCGGGCCCGACCCCCCCCCCCCGAGGGTGTTAGGCCACGTGGGTGATCGTGTCTGCCTCAAGTCTCTAAGTCATGATACTCCCGGTCCCATGTCACCGACAAGTATAATCGTTGAACACGTATATAACAATATAAAAATTGGTGCAAGGACGCTTTAGGATAAAGTTAGGCTTTGTGTTGGTTGTAAGAGCGTTTTTTTGGCGATCTCTTCTGTGTTCCTTTGTTAGTCTAGCGGTGGTCGGTCACGCTTAGCGGCGGCTGGTACGGTGATAGGCTTCTCTGGTTCTCCCGGACCTGTGTGTTGGTGCTGTCGGTATGTGGGTGGTGGTATTTTTTTTATCCTGGTTACGACCTTATATGGTTGTAATCTTATAATTTTTTCATGCTCTATCAAAATTTTTTCATGCTCTATCAACAGAACATCGCACCGTATCATGCGAGTGGTTAAAAAAAATCTCTTCCATATCACATACCTTGTCAAAAACTAAATGAAAAAAAAAGAAACAATCAGAGACCCTTAGCAAGTTGGCATATACTACAGTACAGTATAAAAATAGTATAAACCACTAAACCTCACTTTGATTATCGTAATCTACCGTGATCCGAGCTGAAACGGAAGGAAATCCACAGCGTTAGCCACGCGGGCAGACTGGTGCACCAACCCAACCCGACCCGATACGGCCTTAACTGCTCTTCACCTCCTCCGTCTCCTCCCCAACTAGAACCCCCACGCACTCACGCGCACTGCACGCCGCAACACAACGCGCTCGCCTCGCCTCGCCCCGATCGGTGGTGGTGCTCGCCGTCGCCGGGCGGCGCTAGGGTGGCCGGAGAGGCTCCGGAGAGTAGGAGGAGGAGGAGGAGCCGGAGATGAGGGGGTCGAGGAGGCCGGTGGCCGTGGTGCTGAGCTGGGTGCGGAGGCAGCCGCCCAAGGTCAAGGCGTTCCTCGCCGTGGTCGCCGGGATGGCCGCGCTCGTCTTCATCCGCTTCATCGTCCACGACCACGACAACCTCTTCGTCGCCGCCGAGGCCGCCCACGCGCTCGGCCTCGGAGTCCTCATCTACAAGCTCACCAAGGAGAAGACCTGCGCCGGTAAAAATCCTCCCCCCTTCTTCCCTCCCGACGTCATCCCCTCGATCCACACAACTCCCTGGATTCCACCCCCTCCGGATCCCTATTTTTTAGAAATAATTTTGTGACTTGTTTTGCGTTTGTGTGTTGGATGTGTTTCCGCTCCGATAAGATTATTTATTACGCACCTTATTTACTGCTAATTTCCTCACTGTTCGCGTGGAGGTATTTAATTTTTTTTATATATTTTCGACTTGATTTGTTTACGGAGATGGGTAATTTGGGTTATATTTAGCGAGAGCCGAGAGAGGTTTGGAATTTACTGTTTTGTTTCCACACTTTAATACTGCCTGCAACTTGTGCTGACTTGTATATTGCTATGTTAGTGGTAAGTTTACACTATATGTTCACACTGAGGTTGGCATGGTGAGATTGTCATGTGGTGATATTGCTGGGTGATTCTAAACTCAAATTGAGGAAGCAGCTTTTTGCTTGTTCAATCCAATCACCTTGCTCGGTCGCAATTCTTACTGCATCTGTGTATGCAACTACAGGTTTTCTAGTAATGAGGTGGACATTCTATATGTAGATGTGTTGTAGGGTAGCACTAGCAGAGTTTGTTTTGAGCAGTACTGGTCTGTCAGGTAGCTGATTGAAGTGTTTGTTGGAGGGAGTATGTCATCTCCTGGTGGACGGCGCATAGATTATGGTGTTTAGATTGGTGGTGCTGCTTCAGTCCCTACTAGAACGCCTTTCTCTGTCATGGAACTTGTTGTTTTCCATCTCCTTTCGTGCTTTACTTTCTGAAAACATATTATGTCTGAGTGCTTGGTTGTGCAAATGAAGAATTTAGAAGGGGGTATAAAGATGGTGATTCTGACATTAAAATATTAGGCAATTAACTTACCAAGATATGGTCCATCTCATAATTCCATTGCTTTCCAAAAGCATAATTGCTTGGAATTTATGATTGCTCTGTGGCAACTTGGTTGTTCTTGCTTCTTGAGTGGAAAGAGAATAGCAAAATCCCAATTGGTCTATTGTATTCTAAGTTTTTAACCGAACTGGTTTTCACTACATCAGTACAGCTGTTTATCTGCATGCATTAGCAAGCTGTAAAATCACTTGTTTGAAAGTGGAAATTGTATGGTAATCAGGTAATTTTTTTAGATAGTGGATGCTGCATTCACTTCCCAGTTTTTATTGAGGATAGACCAATTATTTTATTTAATATGCATCAAAATGAATTAACTGCATGCAGTTTAAGGACTTCTGTAATGTTGGTGTTTTCGTTAATGAAAACGGAGGTGCCTCCCTTTCTCAAAAAATAAAATAAGATGAATTAACTGCTTGAATGACAGGGAGTAGACTGGTATAGAATCGCATGTTGAAAATTACAATTGCAAGATGAATTTCCTCTCACCCCTCATACCCCCTCCCCCAACTCTGGGACCTTTTTAATTGTCCCTTTTGTTACTCTCTTCATTTAATTCCTACATTTATGTAACTCATGCTCTAATTTGTTTAAACCTTCTAAATTACTGCAGGACTCTCACTCAAGTCTCAGGATTTAACAGCACTATTTCTGGCTGTTAGGCTGTACTGCAGTTTTGTTATGGAGTATGACATCCATACCATACTTGATACAGCTACACTAGCAGCTACTCTCTTTGTCATCTACATGATTCGGTTCAAACTGAGGTCAACTTATATGCTGGACAAGGACAATTTTGCATTGTACTACGTGGTAAGTGCAATATCAGCTTCTAGAGTCTAGACTAAAAAACTCTTCGAATCTATTAAACATAAAGTTTGTGGTGCCCTCTGTTTTGTGTAAACTTTCTGACTTCATTGTGTGAACTATAACTGTTGGAGCTGCTCAAAACACAAATTCTATAAATGTTCCCCTGCTTGATCTAGACTAAAGACATAGTTCAAGCACTTGAAATTTCCAGGTTCCCACCGCCAAGATCATAACCTGCTTGTATATTGCAGTTGCATGTGTTTACTAGTATTCATTACCAATGCAATGATCTGTACACCTATTCTGGGTGCTAACTATTTTTTGCCAGACATGCTTATGTACTTGTTTTGATCATTCATCTTGTTAGCCCCCTTCTTATTGCTAGACATGCTATCTTACTAGACGTTACATTCCAGGTGTTACCTTGTGCTGGCCTAGCTCTCCTGGTTCATCCTTCAACATCGCATAACATCATCAACAGGATCTCCTGGGCTTTCTGTGTTTATTTGGAAGCTGTTTCAGTGCTGCCACAGTTGCGTTTGATGCAAAACACAAAGGTAAATCTTAAAGATACATACATATGATCTTCAATGCACAGTCCAGTGGCTGAATTTCTTACTTTGTTTCTTTTTGGGGTGCAGATTGTGGAACCATTTACAGCTCATTATGTGTTTGCATTGGGTGTTGCAAGGTTTCTTAGCTGCGCACACTGGGTCCTTCAGGTTCTTTTCTCAGCCTCCTTCCTCCTTAAGTGTTGTTGTAGTTTTGAAATTTGGACCATAGAACCAATGCAAATGGTGTTCAGACCAGTTACAGTATGTAACATTAACATGGGAGGTTGAGAGCTGACACTCCAGACTCCTCAGATCGACCAAACAGGGGGGAAAAGCGAAATGTGCAGTTAGAAAAATAAACAACGCCTCTGATTGCTTGTTCTAGTTTATTACGCAGGAGTATCTAGACTCTCACTGCAATGCAGCTAGTAGATTTTCTGGAAGCAATGCGGAACTTAACATCTTTGAATTGATATGTATTTCCTGTTGTATCATCGTCATTCATGCTTATTCCTGATGCATCATATCATAGGGAATACACTGTTCTACTCCGTTGCATATTGGATGTAAATGTCTGCATTTTAAGCTGTATATATTCTTGAGAAATCTGTTACTTCTGATGCATGATTAGTAGTGATCTAATCTGTAAACAGAATAGGATTTTTTTTAGCAAGCCCATCTAAATCAATTTGCTGTGATCTAATCTGCAGGTTTTGGATACCCGTGGTCGCTTGTTGACTGCTCTGGGCTATGGTCTCTGGCCTTCGATGGTGCTTCTCTCTGAAATCGTTCAGACGTTCATCCTTGCTGATTTCTGCTACTACTATGTGAAGAGGTACATAAATCTACCTTTTACCGTCATCAAGGCAAAATTGTGAAGATTGGCTAACCAGTGATCTTTTGCTGCAGTGTTTTTGGTGGGCAACTTGTCCTTCGACTTCCGTCTGGAGTGGTGTAAAAATGCAGCAGGATGCAACATGTTATGGGCTTTGTGCACGTTTAGTACATCGTCGGATACCAGAGCCTTGTTTGCTTGATAATTTTTTTCAGTTACAAATTGCTCATGTGAAAAATGTACCTACCAGAGACCGTGATGAAATCTAGAGACTAGTTTTTAACTACTTAGCTTTTATCATACGATCAGTTGTCGCAGGCCCCAATAGATAGACCAAGATAGTTCCCCTAATTTGGATCTCGTTATTGATCACCTCCTGCTGTTGGTGTGCAAAGTTTGTTTATCTAGCAGAACTCTCTAGTCAGCATCTATGATGGGCCAGAAGCAAACCCACGTGACATCAGAGACCATACAAAAACTAGGAAACAGCAACTACTGTTGGCCCATTTGTGCTAGAGGCTGAATCAGTCAAGCAAATTGCAATTGCATACGAACATTGGGTGAAGCAGCAAGGCAGGCCATGGAAGACTTTGCACGTATAGTTTGTTCTCTACTGTACCTTTAACATTTCACTTGGAACACCTCAAGAAAAAGCATCTATGGCACACGCCGCATCCGTGCAAGAAAGAAGAAACGAGGTTGGCCGCCGCCGCAGCAGCATGCCTTGCTTGCCGTGATCATGCCGCCTGCTTCTCTCTTCGCCCACCGGCTAAGCAACATAGAATTCCTATTCAACAACTTCTATTGCGTTCCGTTCCGTGAGCTATTTCCCCAAATCAAGAATATCCTTTGCCTTTCGTTTTTCTTTTTCCGTATGAAAAAGTTATGCTCCATATGAAACTTTTATATGGTTTGCCAATACATATGGGCATAAGCAAAGCTGGATTACGGGCTGTTCTTTTTTTTTTCTTATGCCTTGCACTACCAAAATGTCATTTTTGGTAGGGTAGAGTTAGAAACGAAACAGAGTTATTCATGAGACTCCAAACAAAATTGCTGATTTGTTACCCTCCTAAAATAATCCAAAATGAACCTACATAAGTTCACCAAAAGGAGTCTTCGTATCTCATCTTTTCGTTTATACTTATACTTATCAGTCAAAATTTGAATTTTTAATCTTGAATTTGATTTGAACCTGATTTTGAGGTTTTTTTTATGGAAGTTTATTTTTCAGCCTTTACTTTTATTAGATCACCAAAAACATGTATATAAAAGTTTTATTCATAAATTATTTTTCATTTGTAATTATGCCGTTTTGCTTATTTCCACGATGATGGGCCGTTTGTAAGAGAAGTTCACCAAAGAGGCTGACCTGTGGGACCCAAACGGAACCGACCTGCCATGCCCATGCTGGCTGCGTTTACATCCTAAACTGAGGTCAGGTAGATTCGGGGTGCTGGACTGCCGTTCCAAAGCTGAAACACGGAAACGGTTACCTCTGTTCGCCTCGTCCTTTTCCTCTTTTACTGAAACCATCCCAGCCCACCACCACCGCGTGTGTGCGCTTCGCTTGCTTAACGTTCACCCACGCCACGCCGCCACCGCCTCGCTTTTCCTTCTCCACCATTTCTCCTTGTCTCCCACCACCACTTCCCCCCTTCTCCGATCCCTCCTCCCATGGACGCCGCCAAGGATACCACCGCCGCCGCCGCCGACCAAAACCCTACCCCCAACCCTCCCACCGCCGCAGCTCCACCCGATGACTCCGCGGCGGCGGCGGCGGCGGGGAGACGGCCCTTCACCAGCCTCACCCAGGAGGAGGCCGACCTCGCCCTCGCCCGCGTCCTCCAGGAGCAGGTAAAAGCCGTACGCCGCCGCCTCGGGATCTCGCTGCTTCACCACGGTCGGGGGGGTTTGGCTTATCCGTGTTTTTTTTTTTTTTTTTTTTTGTCGGCGCAGGAGCGGGCGTACATGATGCTCAGCGCGCACCACGGCGGCGACTACGCGGCCTCCGATGGTGGGAGCTACGAGTTTGACGAGGAAGGGGAGGGGAGCGATTTTGAGGACGAGGATGGGGACGGGGACGGCGACGGGGAGGCGCTGGATGAGGACGAGGAGGTGGCCGACGCAGACGCAGACGCCGCCGGTGACCCGGCTGAGTTGGACCCCGCGCGGTACGAGGACGACGAGGCCTTCGCGCGGGCGCTGCAGGACGCCGAGGAGCGCGAGGTCGCCGGCCGCCTCATGGCGCTCGCGGGCCTCAGTGATTGTGAGTGCACAAGGGAGAATTTTATCCCCCATCCTTTTTTTTTCTTCCTTTCATAGTTTTATTTCATTTTTGTGTGTAGCTTACAGTTGTTGTTGTTGTTGTTGTTGTTGTTTTGTAGGGCGAGTGATGGACCATGATGATGACGATGTTGATGATGATGATGATGAGGATGATGATGATGATGATGATGATGAAGATGAAGACGGGGATGATCCACAGGTGACATTTTCTTCCATTTCATGAGTTTGGAATGCACGATATCTCCAATTCATTGTTCCATGCTTATCATGCAACCATTCAATGAATAATTTGGATTCCGAGAGACAAGGAGAAAGGGAGGGTAACTTTTGGATTATTATGGGAGAAATTCAAGTATACCCATCTGTATGTAGTCCCATTCTTCAGAATGGGTAGGTGAATATTTTAGGTGCATATCGAACTAATATGGTAATGGCATATATACTACATTCTTTTCCTGGTATATAGAAGTTAGAAGCTGTGCTACTTATGTTAAAAGCGATACAGGTTTGTTGAACTCAATGGCACGGTATCACCTTTGTCCGTCCATTTCCATTTCTAGATACTCAAATTATAATTTGGGAACTGACTTTTCCTGCTGCTTTTGCTGATCAGATTCTGATGCTTGCAAATAAGTATACTATTGTTCATTTGAAAATGGAAATTTAATGCCAATTCCTGTATGTGAGAATTGGGATGGGGTGTGTGTGTGTGTGGGGGGGGGGGGGAGGTAATGGCTTAAAATGTACCCAACTAGGAGCAATTTGCACTTTTCTTAATGCCGTGGTCTTGTTTTCCTGAAGTCTTCCAATAATAAAGCTATTGTCTGACTTTTTTATTTACTTCTGACTTTAGGATGCATGGGAAGATGTTGATCCAGATGAATATTCTTATGAGGTAAGTTGTTTGTTCCCTTAAAAAAGACCGGTACTGTCTGCATTTGGTACACATCTAAAGCTTCAGGATCTGCTACTAAAATTTAATGTTGGTGTTCTTAGGAGCTGGTTGCATTGGGTGAAGTAGTTGGTACGGAAAGCAGAGGCCTCTCTGCTGATACACTTGCTTCATTACCTTCAATAACTTATCGAGCACAAGATAAGCAAGACGGCAACATGGAACAGTATGTTAATATCTCCCCCCTTTTTTAGAAGTAACCGGCACTGTACTGATAAATGAAACTAATTTGCAGATGTGTTATTTGCCGTGTGGAATTTGAGGAAGGTGAATCATTGGTTGCACTTCCTTGCAAGCATTCATACCATTCTGAATGCATAAACCAATGGCTGCAATTAAATAAGGTATATAATTAACAGCATCTCCAGTCTTCATATCCACCAACCCCTTGATGAATGAAAGCAACGGCTTATGAACCCTACATCCCTATTCCTTGTCAGATATTGAATCAATGTTTTTCTTTTGCCACCTGACTATGAAGATACATCATTTGGCATGTTCAATGCACCCAATAACGGGAGCAGTTTAGGTTTATTGGAGAAAGCATTTTCATTTCCGAAAGGTGATAAATTTCCTTGATTGCTTTGCAGGTATGCCCTATGTGCAGTGCTGAAGTTCCTACTTCACAGGACACCCGGGCATGACATCACTACATATTGTAGCCATTATGGGCGTATAATTTAAAAGAAGTAGCGGCAGCTTGATACTTTCTGTCATCGGTGAAATGGAAGCATCAGGAGCTGGTGGATTGTTCAGGTCTCTGTACTTGTGTGCTTCCTTTGCCATGCCGCTACATTGGGTCGTGGTTAAGACGCTCATTGTCGCCCATGTATGATTTGATTAGATGTGAAATAGTTATTACATGGTTGCATCATTCAAATTCAAAGCAATTAATTTATAGTCTCCTGGTGGCCTGAGGCCTGTTGTAGCCTATAAGTTCCGAAAAAATTTTGAAAATATACTCTTTCTTTTTCATATTTTACATTTATATACACGTCTGAGATTAATTTGCAAAAATATACCTAACCCGCGGATTGGTTATGCGGGAGCGAGGGCGAACCACATACTTGAGCCGGTCGCGCGGAACTGGATGAGCAACTGAGCCGGGCCCGCATAGCTGGACTGCGGGACCGAGTCGTTACCGCGGAGCGCGGCAGTACCGCAGAACGGCGTGGTCCCACGGCTCCAACGCGCGGTACCGAAGCCGGTCCCGTGGTCACTCCGGTTCCGTGTCTTATTTCCTAATTTTTCCAAATCATCTCTTTTGTTTTTCGCACGCACGCTTTTCAAATGACTAAACGGTGCATTTTTTGCAAAAAAGTTTCTATATGAAAGTTGCTCAAACAAATCATACTGATCCATTTTTTTTAAAAAAAATCAACTAATAATTAATTAATCACGTGCTAATTTATTGCTCCGTTTTCCGTGCGGGACATGTATTCACAATTTAGGAAACAACATCCATGAGGGAGCGGCGGTCCCGCGCATTCGGAATACGGGAGAGGGGCCGGTCCCGCACATCCGCTATGCGGGAGTGCTCCGGTTACGTGAGTTTATTCCCCTAATTTTTCCAACTCATCTCCTTTGTTTTTCGTGCGCACGCTTTTTAAACAGTTAAATAGGGCTTTTTTTAAAAAAGTTTATATACGAAAGTTGCTAAAAAAATCATATTGATCCATTTTTGAAAAAAAAATAACTAATAATTAATTAATCATGTGCTGATGTACTGTTCCGTTTTCCGTGCGGGACATGTATTCACAATTTAGGAAACGATGTGGGTGCGGGAGCGGCGGTCCCGTGCATCCAATATGCGGGAGCGCTCTAGCTCGGCGGGTCCGCACCGTGACGCAAACAACCCGTGGTGCCGTTCGCCTATCCTGCGGGACCGGTGCGGTATCGCATCCCCGGCCTGCGGGACCGGCGCTCTCACGCAACCATCATGTGGATTGGGTATATTTTTGCAAATTAATCTCAGACATGTATATAAATGCAAAATATGAAAAATAAAAGTATATTTTCAATTTTTTTTCTATAAGTTCCATACTTTGATGTTTGGATGGCAACATTTTTGTTGGCACTTACTGTAGCATCTTCTAGAAGACCGCACTGTCTTGGAAAGAAATTTCGTTGTCCTAGACAGAACAGGCAGGTGCAGATGAGCACGTTTGAACGGTGTAGCATATACTGTTACCGCAACGAATTGTAACGTGCTGTGAAGTTCACCTACTTCTCGTTGACACTTTTTGTAGCATCGTCCGCTTCAGTTCGATGTGCGCAGTGCGCGATATCCGATTATATGTAGATTTTCGTCGACTATAGATAAAGATTTAGGGCTCGTTCGGTTCACAGGATTTTCAAAACGTAGGAATATAAAAAATGTAAGAATACTATAGGAATACATGTGCAAACCTATGGATTGAAAAACACAGAAATTTTTCCTATGTTGGTTGAGCAAACCAACCAAAGGAATGCAAACATTAGGTTAGAGTGGATTATTTTTTCCTATGCTTTTCCTTCAAATATGGAGGAATGGAAAACTTTCCTAAAGTTTTCCTATGGTGCATTCCTATGATATGGTATTTTAAAACACATTCCTATTCCTATGCTTTTCCTTTGCAATTCCTTTGAAACGAATAAGCCCTTAGCAGTAGGTTGTCATCTCAAAATTTAGCCTATTTCCAGTTAATTTTCTTGCTTTCATTAGACTGTATTTATTTATGAAAAAACGCAGTCGTTTTGACCAATAAACTCTGTAATAATCTGTTGTAACTTATTCGAAGCAAAGGCAAAAAAAAAAAACTAAAATAGCCCATTTTAACGGTGCACTTAACATACTTGTGCTATCTGTTGGGCCTGACTGAACAATGCAGTGGCTCTGAAGAGTGACATTTGGTACAATACAACCATACTTGTTCGGTCCTATATCACCAGCCCGCGTGAACGAAGTGCGGCCCGGCCTGCTAAACTTCTCCCTATCAAAAAAGGAAGAAACCAGTAGTAGTAGAAGTTTAGTAGTAGCTGACTTTTGTGCTGATGGGGCGAGCTGTCCGAGAGCTACAGCAACTTGCAAGGAGCGAGTGAAGGTGGTGGTCGGCCGCGGCGCGCGGGTCATGTCGGACTTGGAGAGCAGCGACAGAGAGAGACGGCGGGCGGAATCAGCGTGCGCGCGCCAAACAAACCGTGGGGGGCAGGAAGGAAATAATGCAAAGAATCCGAATCCTCCCATCAACCGGGGGGCCAGACGCCCAGAGTCGGACGCAGCCTGCACCCACAGAATCCACCGGAGAAAAAAAAATGCTCAATTTGGGATTTGGAAGCGGACAGCGACGCATGCACCAATGTCTCCTTCATTTCTTCATCAAGCCTTGGACGAAGATAATAATTTTCACAACACACGCTTTTCAAACTGCGTATTTCATACGAAAATTTTCTATATAAAAATTGTTCTAAAATATCATATTAATCTATTTTAAGTCTATAATAATTAAATCTTAATTAATTGTTCTAAAAATCTTAACCTTCATTTTCATTTCATGCTCAAAGAAAAGAGCACTACTACCCAAGTCGACGCAACCGGATGCTGACTACCACCCAAGCAACGATCCTATCGCCAAACCCGCCTTAAAATACCACTAAACCACCGGCGATTCCACCCCGAAATCCAACACAATCCGCGGGTGCCACCCAACGACGTCTCACCTGCCTCCTCTCCTTCCTTTTTCCACATCTTGTATTAGATAAAAGCTTCCCAATTCCCCTCTCCGTCTTCCCAGATCTGCTTCTTGCCCACCATTCCTCTCTTCCTTCCTTCTCATGATTTCTGCGCCTTCTGTGGGGATCGCCTTCGCGCCCAAGCCGCCACCGGCAGCGGCGGTTGGGTCGTACCGGGCAAGGAAGGTCCGGTGCGCGGTGGCCGTGGCTCCTGCGCCGGCGCCGGCGGGGACGCTGTACGACGTGCTGGGGCTGCGTGCCGGCGCCACGGTGCGGGAGATCAAGGCGGCGTACCGGCGCCTCGCGCGGGAGCGGCACCCCGACGTGGCCGCCAGCGCCGGGGCCGACGACTTCGTCAGGCTCCACGACGCCTACGCCACGCTCTCCGACCCCGACAGCCGCGCGCGCTACGACCGCGACGTCGTCGCCGTCGCCTCCATGGCGCGCGGCGCGCACCACCGGACGATGGCGGCTCCCGCCGCCGCGCCGCGCTGGTACGGCCGCCGCCCACGCCGCACCTGGGAGACCGACCAGTGCTGGTAGCGCACACACGCGATTTCTGTCTCTTCACGGCCATGGCCGCTCACCTCACAAATTTTTAGTTACGGTGATCACCCATGCCTGCCTATGTAAAAAAAAAGTAAAATCTTCCTCCTCGCATCGATCCCTTGTGTATGAATGTAAAATGCAAAATTGAGACTAGGTAGCGTATTAGGAATCCAGACTTAACCCAATCATCATCATGTACTGTGAATATGTACTTACTACTGTATTGTACTAGCGTGTTTTGACGCGAGGTTTGAAGGAAAATGCATGCCCTGCCTCTGCTTATTCTTCTTCTTCTTGTGTTCGATTCGTATCGTTCTTTCCATTCTGGCGAGATATGCCGACGACTTTGGCTAGCTTTTTGTTCTAGAACGTGGATGGCTGGATGACGACGAGGCAGACGAGTTGTTTTATTCAACGGCAGCGAACACAGGGAACATCGCCGATTGGTGGATGGAAGGCCTGGAAAGTCTGCAAAAATATAAATATTTTTTTTGAGGGAACAACAATATGAATATTACGATTGGCGCCTTCAAATTGTCTTAAGCTTGTGTTCCATGGAAAAACATCAACCTGTCTGTGTTGATGTTCTTCCGGGCAGGGCAGGCAACCATTCAGAAAACGTAACACTACACTGTCTGCCCTGAAGAATCTTTAGAGAATCTTATTCTTATAGGTGGTGTTTGGCAAATGGGAAAGGGAAATGATTTCCAACACATCTTTAAATCCTAACCATTCATTCTCCCTCATCTATTTAATCCTAACCTTTCATTCATTTCCTAATCTCAATCTCACCCTCCATTTCCCATTATTGAAACACACCCACAGTGTTATGTTGACGAGATATGTACTACTCCCTCCGTCCCTTAATATAAGGGATTTTGAGTTTTTGCTTGCAACGTTTGACCACTCGTCTTATTCAAAATTTTTTAAAATTATTATTTATTTTATTTGTGACTTACTTTATTATCTACAGTACTTTAAGCACAACTTTTCGTTTTTTATATTTGCAAAAAATTTTTGAATAAAACGAGTGGTCAAACGTTGCAAACAAAAACTCAAAATCCCTTATATTGTGAGACGGATGGAGTAGTAGATTGGTTGACATGAACCAATCTACTGTATAATTATATTCGGTGATTCTGTATTTCTATCTTCTTCAGTGATTCTGTATTTCTGTTCCCTTCTGCGGCAACTCAGATAGAACGCCAACTTGTAGTTTCAATATACAGTACTTGGGTGTGATTCAAGTCAACATGACACGATCTTTTTTTCTCCTTTTTGGATCACAAGGTTTAAAGAGAGTGATCGTGCATGATGCATTGATACATCCATGGGCGTTTTCCTGTGGACGAGAACGACTTGTTAGGCCATGTCCAACGTGGGGTCTCAGCCTCCACGTAAGGTTTGGATGCCATCATGGAGGGGAGGAGTGGTTTTGCAGTGTGTCAGAAGAGCTTGCAGAAGAAGCGGTGGCTCTAGGAGAGAGAAACCAATTCGTGTAGTCCAACAAGTTGGAAGAAAGGATGACAATTTGGAGAGATCAGAATAGAGGAACTTGGAGGCCATCATCGGGAAGATGCCACCGCCGACATGGGCAGCGGACGAGGAGGGAGTCACCCAGATCTACACCGATAGCAGTGGTCGAAGTCGAACAAGAAGAGGAGGGAGCCGTCTCAATCCGTGTCGATGGCGGTGGCCAAATGAAATCACATTGTTAATTGTTTATGAAAATAGTTTTATAGAAAATTCACGTGCAGAAAGTTCTTATGAAAATTACACCGTATACAGTATGGTGGAGAAAAGCGGGATCCACTTTGCTTCGATGTCACACGGATAGGATAGTGTTTATGTATAGTTATTTTGCTGCCATGTAGATGTAGGATAGGTTTCTATTGATTTGCATAGAGTTAATTAAATAGGAGAAAAGAGTAGGACATGATATCTCACGTTAGACATGCCTTGGCTACTAACCTACGAGAAAGACAACAAATGAAAGAGCAATTGTAGCAAGCATTTGTTGGATCTGTTATCGAAAATGAATGTCATTGTTCGCTCTTGAGGATCTAGAAATTATCAAATTTGAAAGGCAAAAAATGATTTACACAATTGTAGATGAAGGAATACATGTTTCCATGGATATAAAGCTCACAATTGTATACAAGATGTAAGTAAACTTTAAAAATCTATTGTATAGAAAATACGATTGTATGAATTATTTGTAACATCAAATCCAATTGTATCCATGAAACCAAAAGTTAAGAGTCGTGCTCGTATCTATGAGGTATAGTGTCTGGAAATCTAACTACATGTAAAATTACTCGGAGCCATTTTATTTAGATTATCAAGACGATTATCTACTTTATTATAGGAAAAATTAAATATTTTAAGAAACAAGTAAAAAGTTCTAAAGGAAAAACATATTTTTTCTGAAGCATGGAGAAAATAATCCGTTTCAATAAGCCCGGTTCGCAAGAGATGGAGACTGTATCAAGTAAGATCACGTAAAATGAGAAAACCATTAACACATAATTTGTTGAGTTTTAATTATTATAATTTAAAAAAAATAAATCTATTTGATACTTCCTCCGTTTCAGGTTATAAATTATTATATACCTAGATTCATTAACATATATATGAATATGAATAATGCTAGAAAGTCTTATAACCTGAAACGGTGGTAGTATTTTTACAACAACATTTTTAAAAACGTTTTCTTACTAAAACCAATGATTGGCTTTTATAAAAAACATGCTAAAAAAAACCTTGGTACAATCTATATCTAAAATTCAGGAAAAAAAATCCTTAATTTCTAGTATAACTACCAATGGGAATATACTCTAAAATGCTAGTAATTAGAAGAGCGGAGGTAGGAGATAGTGAGGAGGTGGGGGATCCAACGGCATCGGAAATACAAACCCCGAAAAGCGTGGAAACCTCTCGTCTTCCCTTTCCATCCGAAGGCGGCAATCCATGGCAGGGCATCCACATCTCGCGCGGCGCTCGCCTCACATGCACATGCCGCTCCCCTTCCCCCAATTAGCGATCCCACCCCCACCGCCCGCCGGTTTCTCCGCCGCCGCCGCCGGAGGAGCACGGCCGGAATCCCCCCCAAGCCGAGGAGGTGCTCCTCCTCCTCCTGTCTCGCCGCCATTGCTGATCGTCGGCGGGGATCATCATAGATGGACGACCTGAAGGCGATCTTGGCGCGGCCGATCCAGTTGGCGGAGCAGGTGATCAAGTGGGCGGAGGAGGCGCAGACGTGCCGGCAGGAGTGCCTCGACCTCAAGGCCAAGGTGGAGCGCCTCGCCTCCCTCCTCCGCCAGGCCGCCCGCGCCGACCTCTACGAGCGCCCCGCCCGCCGCATCCTCGACGACACCGGCAAGGCCCTCGACAAGGCCGCCGCCCTCCTCGACCGCTGCCGCGGCCACGGCCTCATCCGCCGCGTCTTCACCATCATCCCCGCGGGCTCCTTCAAGAAGACCTCCAACCAGCTCGACAACTCCCTCGGCGACCTCTCCTGGATCCTCCGCGTCTCCAACTACTCCAACGCCGACGACCTCGACGACGACCACATCGGACTCCCCCCCATCGCCCAGAACGAGCCCATCCTCTTCCTCATCTGGGAGCAGATCGCCGTCCTCTACACCGGCAACCCGGAGGCGCGCGCCGACGCCGCCGCCAGCATCGTCTCCCTCGCCCGCGACAACGACCGCTACGGCAGGCTCATCATCGAGGAGGACGGCGTCCCCCCGCTGCTCCGCCTCATCAAGGAGGGCTCCTCCGAGGGCCAGGAGACCGCCGCCCTCGCCATCGGCCTCCTCGGCCGCGACCCCGAGTGCGTCGAGCTCATGGTCCTCGCCGGCGTCTGCACCGCCTTCGCCAAGATCCTCAAGGACGCACCCATGAAGGTGCAAGGGATGGTCGCCTGGGCCGTCTCCGAGCTCGCCACCAACCACCCCAAATGCCAGGACGCCTTCCTCCAGAGCAACGTCATCCGCCTCCTCGTCTCCCACCTCGCCTTCGAGACCGTCCAGGAGCACTCCAAGTACGCCGTCGCCTCCAAGATGTCCATACACACCGTCCTCATGGACAAGAAGAACAACGGCTCCACCTCCTCCTCGCACCACCACGACGCGCTAGACGCCGTCGACCACGCCGCCGCCACCACCACCACCACCACCGCCATGGCGGCCAAGCCCACCGGAGGCGGCGCCGCCAGCTCGAGCGGCGCAGGCGCAGGATCAGCAGGAACCGGGACGACCTCGAGCAGCAGCGTCAGCGTCGGCGGCACCGTCGCCGGGACGAAGCAGCACAACGCGTCGCTGTCCGGGACGAGCACCAAGGCGCGGGAGTTCGAGGACCCGGAGACGAAAGCCTACCTCAAGGCCAACGCCGCCAAGGCGCTGTGGCAGCTCGCCATGGGCAACGCGGCCGTGTGCAAGAACATCACCGAGTCCAGGGCGCTGCTCTGCCTCTCCGTCCTCCTCGAGAAAGGCGTCGACGACGTGCGGTACAACTCGGCCATGGCGCTCATGGAGATCTGCCTGGTCGCCGAGCAGAACGCCGACCTCCGGCGATCGGCATTCAAGCCGACATCCCCCGCCGCCCGCGCCGTCGTCGACCAGCTCCTCCGCGTCGTCCACAAGGCCGACTACGACGAGCTCCTCATCCCATGCATCATTTCGCTCGGCTGCCTTTCCAGAACCTTCCGGGCGACCGAGACCCGGATCATCGGGCCATTGGTGAACCTCCTCGACGAGAGGGAAGCCGACGTCAGCCGGGAGGCGGCCGCCGCGCTCACCAAGTTCGCCTGCACGGAGAACTACCTCCATGTCGACCACTCCAAGGCGATCATCCACCATGGCGGCGCCAAGCACCTCGTCCAGCTCGTCTACTTCGCCGAGCAGGCCGTCCAGATCGCCGCGCTCCTCCTCGTGTGCTACATTGCGCACAACGTCCCCGACAACGAGGAGCTCGCGCAAGCGGAGATCCTCACCTTGCTCGAGTGGGCATCAAAGCAAGCGGCCATGGTGCAAGATCCATTGATCGAGAACTTGTTGCTGGAGGCCAAGATTAGAATGGAGCTCTACCAATCCAGAGGGGCAAAAGGTTACTACTGAGATGCACGGTTTTGATGCAGAAAGAGGCACATGTAGGATGATACTACCAAGATGATGGACCGGCTTCTTCTTCTTCGTCGTCGTCTTCGTTGCATCAACCAGCTGACTACTGTATATATATTCAGGTGTTTTTTGGTTGACTTGAATTGAATTGTTGATGCAATCAGTTGGATTCCATGTTTGGTTGGAAGAGATTGATTTTGTCCCGGGCATCAAATGGTTTTTGTAGGGGGGTTGGTGTTCCTTGTTGACGTATGTATCCCTTGGTGGTGACTAATGATGACTGGTTTGCATGTATAGCTTTGGCCTTTGGAGTTTAGCATCTTGTACTCTCATTTCACCCTGATACTTGATGTATATTAAAAAGTTCAATCATTTACTGGAAGATTCTCAAATTTGATGCCTGCGTTTTATTTTTGTTGTGCTTGACAAGTTAACTTTGTATATGTTCAGCTCTTTTGGATCATATGTCCTGTAGTTAAACACTTGGAAAGTTGGAACTTTCTTGCTTCATTGCTTGCAGGATGTCCATCTAGAATTCAATTTTATCACACAGCATTCTATTGCTAGTCATCCTTATTGAATAGTTCTCAACAAAAAAAAAAATCCCAGAGACCTAGAATATTATATTGTCAATCATCATTCTGACCGAATTCTTCCCCTAAGGAAACTACTTGAACTTTCTTGCTTGTATGAGGCCCATCACGGAGTACTTGAAATATAGATTACTAACCCTCCTTATTGATTTCTAAGATGGAATAAACTTGCCACTATCTTGGTTTGACATTTCTTCTAACACATCATTTTAACCTGGCAGTGACACTGTGACATGTAGTTATCATCTTACCTTGTACTACCTCCGTCCCAAAATAAGTGCAGCCGTGGATATCCGTGCCCAACGTTTGACCATCTGTCTTATTTGAAAAATTTATGAAAAATTTAAAAATATTTAGTCACACATAAAGTACTATTCATGTTTTATCATCTAATAGCAATAAAAATACTAATCATAAACAATTTTTAAATAAGACGAACGGTCAAACGTTGAACATAAATAGTGTAAAACTGCATTTATTTTGGGACGGAGGGAGTATCCAAGTAAGATACCGATACAATGTCCGCAACAGCAAATTGGCCCATTTGACGCCTCTAGTCTATCAAAGTAGTACTAGCTGCATGTACAGACCATGTAGTCACTAGTCACTGTCAGGAACTGATGCAATCTGCAATGTCAATTTAAATTGAGGCACCAAACCTGGTCTACATGTGCCAGTGTGTAAATAACTCCAATGTTTGGTTCCTAATGCAATCCTGTCTGTCCTAGACTTCAGGAGAAGTTATCAAGATCTTGCCTCCAGAATACTTTAGTTTGCTCCAATCCAAGCAAAGACGGTTTATAGCAGGTTGGTTAATGCCAATTATTTTATTTGACTAATTTGCGCAATTCATATGATTGGCCAATGCATTGTATCTCTCAGCAAATATCTATATACCAGTTTACTGGGTGAGAACCGAGTGGTATGACATATAGTACAACACTATATTCAAGGGACACTAATGTAGAGCAATTTTCGTGAACACGCAAAAGGATTGCACATAGAACTAGCAATAAAATTCTACATGAACAAAATCATGTTTATTTCAGCAACATTAGCACAAAAACTGTACACAGACATTGATATATGCAAGGATCGTACTAGGAAATAGACATGATGCGAACAAATGCTAGAATTTGTATTTCACAACTAAGAGGACATGTAGAATTTGCATTGTTGATAAATGAGAATCAATTTGTGTGATAGGCAACTTACCAGACAGACCATTGACACAGCACCAACACGAGTTACTTTGCTCTGCCTATAGCATTCATGGGTAATTATGGACTGATCAATGGTTCGTCCAGCATTCTCTTCTGCTTAGGATGTACACGGCCAGGTGAATTTAGTAAGGCAAAGAGCAAGAGTGTCATGCAACAATTACATATTACACAACGCATAAAGTGAGATGAAACCTGCAAGGTTCAGAAAGTTCATCTTAGCTTGAGCACATTCTCTGCATTGCTGATCATAAAGCAATAGGCAACCTTGGTGCCCACTGTCTTGTAATCGGCTCGAAGCTTTGTTGGGATGCTTTTTCTGAGAAGTGCTCAAGCAACAACACTACAGCTGTGCGAATTCCCCATTCACCAACCTGAACCTGTAAAACCAACTGATAGAATACACTCAGAACCCAATTAATACTAGTACAACTGTGAATCTGTTGTTAAAAATAAAAGGCATCAGCCGATTATACCCTACAATTAACTAAACTGGCAGATGGTTAACAGTATATCCCCTGAAATACCAATCCAATCTACAAAAAACATGTTGAACTAATCGACAATTAAGTTAAGCTGCAAAGCAAGTTTGCGCTTGAGTCAGTGACCAATCAAAAAATTCAAAAACAAAAATAATTTACACCCGAGCTGGCTACTGCCGGTGATGGGAGGGAGGATTACGGCGAACGGAAAACACATGCTTCGTCGGCGAACAGAAGTCCGGCGGCGGTTCCTCCCTCCCGCGCCACAGCGATTCCTCACGATCGAACAGCAGCCGACTAACCGAGGAACTACGAAACCTAGGACCGCAGAATAGAGGGCGTGGGATAAGGAATCCGGTGAAGGAGCTAACCGAGGAACGCGGCGTCGGAGGAGGCGGATGCATTGCCGCCTCGCCGTCGCCGGAGTAGAGGAGGAGGCGTCGCGAGAAGGCGGCGACGGAGTAGAGTGGAGTTGCTGAAATCCGATTGGATGGAAGCGTATGGAGGAAGGAGGCGAGTGGGTGGGCCGGCCCATAGTACTTGTGGGCCCAAATAGCAGTCGGTTTCAGGCCCATGATAAGGAAGATTAACTTAGCAATCGGCCCAGTTCAAATGCAATTTCACCTACTTGCTACGAACCGGCCCAAAAACATGAGGCCCACGCCCAACATGTCGTTGCTGGGTGATTTGAATCAACCCAGTTAAAATGCATTCGTTTTGAGTTTGGTGGTTTGAATTTGAAAGGTTTTCCCCTCTTTCCGTGATTGCAAGAACGTGACAAGATGAAAACTCGCAAAACTTGGTAATTCATCTACTGTATTACTTCTAGCTAGGAGTATTCTGTAAGGGTGATTGACTACAGGTGGTCGATCAGTTCTGGCATCAGTTGAGCTTCAGACTCTAAATCTCATGCAGAAAAAAGCTGAGATGATATGATCTCTGTAAAGATTTTGACAAGATTCACTAGCCTAGCCTGTGACCACCGAACTTGACGAAAGATGAACGGGATCTGAAGATCAGAAGGCGTATCTTATCCTCGTTGCAACTTGCATGGTCCTATCTTATCATGGATCAAGATTCTTCTGAATCCACAGGAATCCATGTTCAGATTCTGATCTATCGGTTCCCTGTCTCCTGTTCAGATCTTACAGGGATTCTACAGCTATGATGCCTATGGCTATGAGTCGTACGCTAATGATGCAGCCAAATGAAACGTGGGCTTCCCTTTACTGAAAGCTATCAGCAGCAGATGTCACCTGTTAATTAGCAGCCAGGCTTTGCGAATGAAAAAGAAAAGAAAAAGACAGATCTTTTGCTTTCTTTTGAGCTACTAATAAGCATGAAAGATTATCAGATGAGCAAGAAAAGCAGTGTAGGCAGATGCCATGGTTTGTCAGGGTTGGATGGTTAGAGATGGATATTCTAGCTGAGTAGAGAGCTAAATTATCTCGATCAGATTCAGATAGATGATCAGTAGCAGTAGCTTTCAGATCGATGAGGATTAGCCGAACTCAACAGTGACGTATAACCACAAGGAAACTGAAGCAGAGCACAACAGCATAGTACGCATCAATTACAGAACAGCATTTGCATCAATTACAGGCTGGTCGATCGATCAACCGGGCAGCTACTAATATGAGATGGCCCTCAGGCCATGGCCGGCCGTCACATCGATGCTGATTCTTCAGCGTGTCAGATTGCACGTCGGCTGAAACAGACAGCTCCTGCTTGCGTTTCACAGCTTGACTTCGCCATGGAGCTGGCCTGTCTCACGCTCACCGCCAAAATTAAAAGATTGATTGAAATTAGAACGATATGACGGAAAAGTTAAAAGTTTGTGTATAAGAAAGTTTTAATGTGATAGAAAAGTTAAAAGTTTGAAGAAAAAATTGGAAACTAAACTAGGCTGGAGTACTAGTAACAGTCTGAAATCTGAACCAATTAATTTGCAATAGTTTCGTTTGTTCGGATTCAGATTTCAGAAAAGCAACATTTTAACTCGGGGTGTGTTTAGTTCACGCCAAAATTAAAAGTTTGATTGAAATTGGAACGATGTGTTGGAAAAGTTGAAAGTTCATGTGTATAGAAAAATTTTGACGCGATGAAAAAGTTGAAAGTTTGAAGAAAAAGTTGGGAACTAAACCAGTCCTCGATGTGGACTAAGGCTACTGATCAGCGATCTCTTCATCTGATCTGCATTCCTTTCTTCTTTTTAGGAAAGAAGAATGAGAAAGGTTATCACGTAGTACTAAAAAGTAGTGGTAATTCAGAAAAGGTTGAAGCTGAGAGTGATCTGCAGGCTGCAGCGGTGGTAACCTGGCAAGTGCCTAATATCCCTCTTTTTTAAAAGACTTAGTGCCTAATGATTCTCTTGATTACTCCACTCAGTGTAGTAGTACTAGAGTAGCACTTGCACACCAGAAGCATGGTAGTGCATGCTGCGTGATCAGTCGTTTGTTTGCTTACGTGCGAAGAATTCGCCAAGAACTATGAGTTAGCCTACACGCACAGTACTGTATTGTATACACAGGTACAGTGTGATCGAGCTGAATAAAGTTTGATTGAGTATGCTCTTTTTTAATAGAATGGAACGATGAATAGATGAATGATTTTGTGATGAATGTAATAGAATGATGAAAAATATAAACGAACAGATTAACTATTAAAAAGCTGAAAACTTGTTTTTAAAAAGAAATTATAATAAATTTATATATGATCCATTCAACGTGATCCATTCATATACTCAAGAAATGTGTCATCCACTCATCTACTCAAGACGTGTGTGATCCATTCAACGTTTACGGTGATGAAATCATTGGGAGAAAAGGGAGCATCAACCTTGGAACAACATGACAACATGCTGGTTTTCACTGAATAAGAAAATCTTATGTCAGGTATAGATCGGTGATCAGAATGGATCCGATAATTATTAAGAGCTTTCGGTTTCTCTGGGGCTGAAAATTCGGACGGCATGTTGCATGCTCCCCTTTCTCCTATCGTTTTGTGCCGCAAAAGCGGAGGTCTGATGGACGTCGCTGGGCCGATCCAAACCGTCCAAACACTGTGCCCACAACGTGACAAGCAAAAAAACAGAACAAAAGCCACTCGCTTACCAACAAAACAAACAACAAAAATTTTGTCCCACTACCTCAACGTTCACAAAATTCAAACTGGTCAGAACATGAACCCCGTCGCAAATCACTGGAAATTTCATCGAATCCTACCAAAACGAACCGGCTCGAATTTTGAGTTCGGTGTGCATTTGCGAGCTGCTGGCTCACCGAAGCCGGAATTAAGCAGGCGACCGGTGCTAGAATTACGTTCATAAAAGTATTCAATACTTCCCAAAATATAAATATTTTTAAAGTAGTGCTAAATCAAATATTTTTAACTTTTGTTATTAATAGTAAAAAAAATAAAAATGATCAATCATATAAAATTGATGTTAGTAGATTTATCATTGAACAAACTATAATATGCAACTCTTTTTATTTAAAAATCTTAATTATGGTGGTTAAAGTAGCACATCAAAGATTATGTTAAAGTTGAATAATATTATATTTTGAGACGGATGGAGTACCAATTTAGCAGTGCGCTACCAGATGGATTCCAATTCAGAATTCTTCACTGTAAAATGGAGTACTAATCTCGCGGTCGCTGCATTTGACTCGCGTGCTGATTGAGAGATGATTCGAGCAAAAAGTACACAAAGCGGACGCAAGTCGCAAGATTGATTGCAAGAAAGAAAAGCATCGCGAATTTGCGGAGCAAGCAACGGCCTCCTCTGGTTATAAAGCCAGCAGCCGCCATCGCCCAGAGGTTTACACGGCCACGAGCACGAGCACGAGCACCACCTCCCCCTTCCACTCCACCACGCAACGCGCGACCTCAGCTCAGCTGCGCGTCCGCGGATTCGGGGTTATGGGCATCGATCGTGCCCACTCCCCCGCCATCGCCGCCGCCGCCGCGATTTAAGCAATCCAAACGAGCGAGCGAGCAAATCTTGTCGAACACCAGATCCCCCAAGCTCAATCATTCAATCAACCGTGTGAGTCGTTCTTGATTCGATTTTCGAGATGGATTCACGGATGCTGCTGATGCTGATGCAGCTGCTCGGCTCCCCGACATCGCTCGCCGTTCTCCTCCTCTCCTTCTTCCAAGGTCAGTCACTTCCATTGCTGGGTTACTATCTACTGGAGCTCGCGATTTGGAGCTTGACTTGATTCTTTCTTGGGGTTTGGGGGATTCGATTCCTCTTCCTCCGCGCGCGCAGGCTCGGTCGGCGTCGGCGCAATCACCTTCACCTTCACCAACCGGTGCACGGACACGGTGTGGCCGGGGGTGCTGTCGGGCTCCGGCACGCCGCCGCTGGAGACCACCGGCTTCGCGCTCTCGCCGGGGGGGTCGCGCTCCCTCTACGCGCCGTCGGGGTGGTCGGGCCGCTTCTGGGCGCGCTCCGGCTGCGAATTCGACGACTCCGGCAAGGGCTCCTGCGCCACGGGGGACTGCGGCTCCGGCCAGGTGGAGTGCCGCGGCGCGGGCGCCTCCCCGCCCGCCACGCTCGCCGAGTTCACCCTCAACGGCGCCGACGGCAAGGACTTCTACGACGTCAGCCTCGTCGACGGCTACAACCTCCCCATGCTCGTCCAGGCCTCCGCCCCCGACTGCCCCGACACCGGCTGCCTCGTCGACCTCAACGAGCGCTGCCCCTCCGAGCTCCGCGCCGACGATGGCCGCGCTTGCCGCAGCGCCTGCGAGGCGTTCGGCCGACCTGAGTACTGCTGCAATGGCGCCTACGGCAACCCGGACACCTGCCACCCTTCCCAGTACTCGCAGCTCTTCAAGTCGGCGTGCCCTAAATCCTACAGCTACGCCTACGACGACGCCACCTCCACCTTCACCTGCAACCACACCGATTACACCATCACCTTCTGCCCCCGATCCACTCCATCCAGGTTTGTACACTTCAAATCAATCGCAGCGAATCCATTGCATTGAGATTTCGATTACCAGTATGAGATTTTTATGTGTATGATAGAATTGTATAGTGGACTGATTGCAGCACATTGAGATTTTGGGCTAAAATTGGGGATTTCGATGTGGAACATGAATTGGGGAAAGTAAAGGTTCATTGAGGATGTGATAGAGTTAGGCTAAGAAAAGGAGGAGCAATCTTTTTCTCCTTTGATTCGTCCCCACTTCACTCACATTGTACCTAAGCTGGCCTTGACTGGAAAGTTGCAATTTCCTAGTAGGCATGGAAGGAACTTGCAACAGCAAATTCTCATCATCAGTTTCAGGTTGATTAACTGTTTCATGAATTTGGTATGTTTGCAGTGGGAATTCAAAGAACGGATCACGGAGACCGAGCCACGAGCAGCTCGAAGATGCGGTGTGGCTGGCGAGCTTGAAGGCCAGCAGTGGCGCGGGGATGGCTGCAACTGCGGCATCATGGCCGGCATCCTTAGCTTTCCAATCTGCCTTGGCAATTGCAGTGGTGATCCTGCTTGCCCAGCAGGAGCATCCCGTATTATTCAGCTAGTAGCAAGTGAGAAGGATTCTTGATCGGTAGTAGGAGTGATCAAAAGGGGGAGACGTGGAGAGCACATTCTTTAGGACTTTTTGTTTGTGGATAGAGAATGCAGGCGTCCTCAACCTCAAGTTTGGCAGTTGTAGTTGCTGCTCAGCTTAAGTGTTTGCTTTGCTTTATTTGCCTTTCAGAAAACCTTGCTATTCTAGTTACATTCTTTGCTGTGCTTAATTTTTTGGGGGTCCTGATCAATGTGGACTCCAGATGCACTGCTTTGAATCTAAACGAGAAGAGCATATGATCTGATATTCTGATCTGGTAAGCTCCTTTTTTTTTTCTTTCTGAAAGTTTGAGCAAGACGCACAGCAAGTAGCACAATCTGAGATTCTCTCTTGTCTTTATAGAGAGGATAAGAATCACTTTGGAGGTAAACTGGGAAGAGTAATACAGATCCTGTTTGTCTCAGATGTATACCTGATAAGAATTTTGAGGGTTTGTTGGTATAATTAACCAACCAATCAATCATTCTGATCTGCAATGAAAGGGTGTCTGAACTCTGAAGAAACAAGATGCAAAAGGAATTCTGAATGTGGTGAAGGCAAAAGGGGGAGGCATAGGCAAAAGATGTGAGTTGTGCTCATCAATGACAATGAAAAGCAGAATATTGAACCTACTTTGGTATGTGATAACCTTAGTGTTAAGCTAGCACACACCTGAAGAAAATGCCCTGTAAAGGGAAAGGGCTTATGAGCCTGGATCTCTGCTTTCATATGGTTATGCTTCAGGTGGCCATTTTGTGTCGGCCAACGGCCATCATCACATGAGTTCCTTGATTTTTATGCAAGAGGTGAGGAAGAAGCCCCATCTTACATAACAGTGACAGCGTGAAGAACAAGTCCCCGCAAGAGATGATCTCATCTTCTATGAAGGGGAAAGAAACAAGAGGGTAAATTCAGAGAGGGTGTAACTTTCAAGTGCTTATCTTTTTTTCAAACCTCTGAACAAATTGTTGATTTATTTTCTTCTTAGTGACAGATGAACCATTCAGTGAAGGAAGCAGTAACGAAATACTAGTGCTGATTCAGATAAGATGTGACAGAATCCTTACTAAAGCAGCCTGTGAAAAATGTCAATTTACTAGCATGAGAAAATTTCAAGGAAATGATCTACTCCTACTACTATTTCTTTTTTTAGAGGAAAGATCATTATATTAAAATAACTCCTACTACTATTTCCACATCTAATCTAGAAGAATTAATTAATATCGTCAGTGAGTAATGATGAAACTCCCCGATCTGAGGTTAACCTGAAGCCAATTCTGAACCGTCAGGGAAAGCACGGTTTCAGGGCGTCTCGATCGATCAGCAGACATCAACTCATGAGTCATGACGATATCGCGCTCAAAGTCGCATGCAATGCATCATGCCGCCGACTCAAGCAAATATTCGATCCCTTCTTTCTTGGCTGTAACGAACGACAGATGGATCATGGATGAACTAACACCTGGAGAGAGAAGACAGCAAATCAATTTTGGGCCGGGCCAGGTCAAGAAAAAAATAACTGGGCTACTCTACTCCTCCCAATGGGCTGGATTGGGCCGTACAGCTTGCTTCGGGCCTGTTCACTTTGATGTCATTTTCAACCTTACCAAATTTTGGTAAAGTTGCTAAAAAAGTAGCTACATTTAGTTTACTGCCAAATTTTGGTAACTATATAAGAAATCCTGTCAAAATTTTGGCAATGCCAAATTTTGGTAAGGTTTTTTTTGGCATCAAAGTGAACAGACTCTTCTTTTGGGGATATCTTTTCATTAAAAATCCGCGCTCGGTTGATGGTGTCGGAACTGTGTTTGCGCGAACTAAGTCGACGAACACAACAGTCTGGAAGATCTGCTTAGCTCCAGTGTAGATCTAAAACTTGATGAGATGTGGATCTGCCAGTCAGTTTAATCTTGCAACTGACAAGATAGATAAATATATTGATCACCAAAGAGCCGATCAGCTGACAAGATGATGGAGTACTTTCAGACGATGCCAATACTAGCCTATGTCGATAGGGTTTTGAGCAATCGGCTATATATATATTCTGATACTTAAGTAAATAATGATCTAGAGACATTCGGCTGATGATAACGTAATAAATAACAATATAATCCAGTAGAAACCAATCGGCTAATAATGATATTATAGTTTACATGCGGAATCTGTAATTTGTTTTGTTTTTAGTCTACGTTTAATACTTCAAATGTGTGTCTGTATACTTTTGAATTTTTACACCCTAGAACTAAACACACCCTGGTAGGCTTGGCCGCTACGGAAGCGGCATGCCCAAAGCTCCAGTCCTGATATCCTGACATGCTTGACTATCGTTGCATCTCGTTATCGTTGAGAAGATAGTATACGCGTTTCTTCACCTCGTTATCGTTTCCAACCCATGGAGTTACGTGCTCGCTGCATTTTTCTTTCACGATTCGGCTCTCCGCGTGCGGCGAGGATTTTTCTCGCCTTATTATTAACTGTTCTAGCTGCCGATCCAATTAATCGGATTTCTTGTTGAGATTATAGACATATAATGATTTAATCTATTCCATAAATAAATCATGACATTACAGATGAAAACTAGCATGAACGCATCATTAGATCTACACATGTAAACTACACAGTATAACATGAACAGATCAAATATGCGCAACATATTGAACACGTACCGAGGTGACGAAAAGACCGGCTGCTTGGTCGAAACTTTTCGCAGGTGTCTACGAAGGCACGAAACACGCGAGCGAAGAGGAAGGCGAGCCGTCGCGAACGAACAGGGAGCAGTCGCGCGAAGCGCTTCCCAAAAACCTTATTGCCGCCTTCTCCCGGTGCAGGACGTCAAAGGCAGAGGTTCCGGAGACCTGCTCTCCCGATCGCTGGTGCACGCCGGCGAGCGGGATGGAGTAGGCTACGAGCGACGGCGCAGTACAGAGTAGGAGGCAAACCCTAGATTGATTTTGCGTATATATTGCATGAAGACGGCGGGTCGGTTTATATAGAGAAGGGTCGCTTGATCAGGGCGCCCGCACGATCTCTACTGCGCGTAACCGAACCGGATAAGTCGCGCGTAACTTATCCGGACTCCACGCCGTTTGCACGCACCGGATTTTTCGGAACGTTTCCAACACAAAAACGAATCCGAATTTGCAGCAAAACAAAACTGCAAAAGGAGGCTGCATCTGCGCAAGGGTGAGGAGCCAATTTTTCGGACCATTCGACGCGTACGTCGTGCACGCGCGCCGCCTGCCCTGCCCGGCCCGGCCAGGCGAGCGAGCGCGCGCGTGTGTTTCCCCTCTTCTCTCCACCACACATGCTTCAAGTGGCTAGGAGGACATCCTCCCTTTTAAGGAGGTCCCCCTCTCCTAGAATAAGCAAGATGGTACTAAACTCCACATGCATGCCATCCCATGAGGTGGGCTTTTGTGATTTTCCAAAGAATTAATCTTCGAGTGGGCTAAGGCCCATTCATTAATTCCAACAATCCCCCACCAAATCTCAAAATCCCACTGAGATTTGCCTTTTCCAATGTACTGTTTATATACCAGCGGTTCGATGGAGACCAATTAAGGTTGAACATCCACCTAGAACTCCAAGCTACACTTACTCACAACTTGAACAATGGACTACGCCTTGAATTGCAAGTCTTGTGCAAGCAAGTTTCACTCAAAGTCTTATCTGGTACTAGACCGTCTGTAGACTACCCCTCGGGTGGAGCGTATAGGTCATACTCCTAGGTCTTTAGTAAGCTTCCTAGAAGATTCACCCAAAATCTTCATAGACTGCGACCAACAGTCAAGCTCACAAAGGTGAGTTCTTTCAAGAATGCTCTGCAGGACAACATCTTCGCTAATTAAAGCCAACAGAACTCATTAAGGCATAGCCAACCTGCCTTGCAGCTCACGAGAGTACATGCATCTTCACTTGGAGAGGGTATATATATTGATACTCTCCTCTAGTTTACTAATGGTTTGTTCTTCCCAGGATCTAATTCACGGGATCTCCGATCACATAGACTGGGTTACCACCATAGTATAACTCACATGGGTCTCAAACCCATCTCCTTCGATGCATTGTTTATCACATTTCGTGATAGTCCCTTCGTGAAGGGATCTGCCAGGTTTCTCGCTGTTTGGATGTAATTCAACGTTATAACTCCGGAGTTTCTTAATTTCCTGACAGACTTCAATCGTCTTTTCACATGTCTAGACGATTTCATATTATCCTTAGAACTATTCACTTTGACAATTACCGTTTGATTGTCACAGTTCATAAGGATAGCCGGCACCGGTTTTTCAACAACAGGCAGATCCATTAATAGATCACGCAGCCATTCTGCCTCAACAGTAGCAGTATCCAGTGCCGTTAGCTCTGCTTCCATGGTTGACCTCGTCAAAATGGTCTGTTTGCAAGACCTCCATGAAACAGCACCACCACCCAGTGTGAAAACATATCCACTAGTGGCTTTGATCTCATCCACATCAGAGATCCAGTTAGAATCACTATAACCCTCCAGTACCGCAGGATACCCAGTATAGTGAAGCCCCAATTCCACAGTACCTTTCAGATAGCGCATTACTCGCTCAAGCGCACGCCAGTGATCATCTCCCGGATTAGAGGTAAATCGGCTCAACTTGCTCACAGCAAAGGAGATATCAGGCCTAGTTGCACTAGCCAGGTACATCAACGAGCCAATGATTTGGGAGTATTCCAGTTGATTCCTAGCAATTCTCTTGTTCTTGCGAAGCAACAAGCTAGGATCATAAGGTGTTGGAGAAGGCTTACTATCAATGTAGCCAAAGCGATTCAAGATCTTCTCCACATAATGGGACTGCAAGAGTGTAATCCCATTCTCACCTCTAATTAGCTTAATGTTTAAGATAACATCAGCTACTCCCAAATCTTTCATATCAAAATTTTGAGACAAGAATGATTTAACCTCATTTATCACCTCAAGGTTTGTCCCAAATATCAGTATGTCATCAACATACAAGCACAAAATAACTCCCTCACCCCCACCATGGCGATAGTACACACATTTATCTGCCTCATTGACTGCAAAGCCTGCAGATGTCAATGTTTTGTCAAATTTCTCATGCCATTGCTTAGGAGCTTGTTTCAGACCATACAAAGACTTCAACAATTTGCACACTTTGCCTTCTTGACCTTCAACTACAAACCCATCAGGTTGATCCATATAGATCTCCTCATCCAGCTCTCCATTAAGAAAAGCTGTCTTAACGTCCATTTGATGAACGAGAAGACCATGTGAGGCTGCTAGGGAAAGTAGCACACGAATTGTGGTCAATCTAGCAACAGGTGAGTAAGTGTCAAAGAAATCTTCGCCTTCTTTCTGAGTATAGCCCTTAGCAACAAGCCGAGCCTTGTACTTTTCAATAGTACCGTCAGGCCTAAGCTTCTTCTTGAACACCCACTTGCACCCCACAGGTTTACACCCATAGGGTCGCTCTGTCACCTCCCAAGTCCCGTTAGCGATAATGGAATCCATTTCACTACGGACAGCCTCCTTCCAGTAGTCTGCATCAGGAGATGCATATGCTTCTGAAATTGACTTAGGAGTGTCATCCACGAGGTACACAGTGAAATCATCACCAAAAGACTTAGCCGTCCTTTGTCTCTTACTCCTTCGAGGAGCTTCACTGACATCCTCCTCAGAGACAAGTTCATGTGTATGTTCAGTTTGTTCTGGTGGTGTGATTGAACTGGGAATTATTTCAGAGGGTTGGTTCGAACCACTATGTGTATCCTTCATTGGGAAAAAGCTCTCAAAGAAGGTAGCATCACGAGACTCCATAATTGTACCAACATGCATGTCCGGTACCTCGGATTTAACTATTAAAAATCTATAGGCAATGCTATGATGAGCATATCCCAGAAAAACACAGTCCACAGTCTTAGGTCCAAGTTTGCGCTTCTTTGTTATTGGTACATTGACTTTCGCCAAGCAACCCCATGTGCGCAAATAAGAAAGTGATGGTTTTCTACCAATCCATATCTCATATGGTGTTTTGTCCTTATTTCTGTTAGGAACTCTGTTTAACACATGATTTGAGGTCAACAATGCCTCCCCCCACCATGCCTTAGGCAGTCCCGCGGTGTCCAACATGGCATTCACCAAGTCAGTCAGTGTGCGGTTCTTCCTTTCAGCAATCCCATTAGACTCGGGAGAATAGGGAGGCGTCCTCTCATGTATGATGCCATGTTCCTCACAGAATAAGTCAAACTCGTTCGAGAAAAACTCTCCACCACGATCAGACCTAAGCCTTTTTATCTTTCTGTCAAGTTGATTTTCAACTTCTGCCTTATAAATTTTAAAATAGTCTAGAGCCTCGTCTTTCGTTTTCAACAAGTACACATAGCAAAATCTAGTAGCATCATCAATCAATGTCATGAAATATCGTTTTCCACCCTTCGTCAACACCCCATTCATTTCACAAAGATCTGAATGTAGGAGTTCTAGTGGTGCCAAGTTTCTCTCCTCGGCAGCCTTGTGAGGCTTGCGAGGTTGCTTCGATTGCACACAACTATAGCACTTAGAACCTTTGACAATGGAAAACTTAGGAATTAAACACATGCTGGAAAGCCGAGACATCAAGCCAAAATTAATATGACATAAACGTGAATGCCAAACATTAGCCTCATCATCCACACTGCCACAAATATGGTTCACAGACTTATTGCAGAAATCAGAAAGGAAAAAGCGGAACAGGCCTCCGCACTCATAACCTTTACCAATAAAATATCCATGTTTAGACACGACTACTTTATTAGACTCAAAAACCAACTTAAATCCGTCTCTAGTCAGACGGGAGCCACTAACAAGATTCCTGTCGATAGAAGGGACATGCTGCACGTTCTTCAGCTGCACGATCTTTCCCGAAGTAAACTTCAGATCTACCGTGCCAACACCATGAACAGAAGCATGTGACCCATTCCCCATTAGGACGGTGGAACCCCGTGCGACCTGATAAGAAGAAAACAATGAGATGTCAGCACAAACATGTACATTGGCCCCAGTATCAACCCACCAATTAGTAGATTGATTAACTGAAAAAACAGTAGGTAAATTACCATACCCGCTTCCATCTCCAGTGTTGCCAATGGTCACATTAGCAGACTTAGAAGTCTGCCCTGCAGGTGCCTTCATCCCCTTGCGCTGTGGACACTTCCTAGCCAGATGACCAACTTGGCCACACACAAAGCAAGTCCTCTCATCCTGATTAGGATTGTTGTTGTTCTTCTTCTGCTTCTTGAAGTTGGTGGTCTGCTGAGCTTTGTATTTCCCCTTGCTCTTGTTCTGGGCCTTGTGCACAACATTGGCACTGGACTGCCCACCATCGCCCTTAGACGCGGCATCTTTTTCCCGAGCTTTCTCCTCAACATCAAGAGACGCAATCAACCCCTCAACGGAGTATTCCTGTCTCTTGTGTTTGAGTGCAGTACCGAAACTCCTCCAAGATGGAGGTAGTTTTGCAATAATGCACCCGGCCACAAATTTGTCGGGTAAGACACACTTAAGGAGTTCGAGTTCCTTAGCCATGGTTTGTATCTCATGAGCCTGTTCGACTACAGAACGGTTGTCAGCCATTTTGTAGTCATGAAACTGCTCCATGATATACAGATCATTGCTAGCATCAGTAGCACCGAATTTAGTATTCAGTGCATCCCACAACTCCTTAGCGTCGGTCATATGCATATACACCTCGACCAGACGATCGCCAAGAACACTAAGAATGCATCCCACAAAGAGAGTAGTGGCTTCCTCGAATTGCTTCTGCTGTTCAGCAGTAAGAACTCCTTCAGGTTTGCCAGTACTCACCCAGAAGCATTTCATAGCTGTCAGCCACAGAGTGACCCTGATCTGCCATCTCTTAAAATGCACACCGGTGAATTTATCCGGCCTCAGTGCATCGGCAAAACCAGCCATAGTAAAATCACAGTGCCTATAATAAGGTTTTTGGATTGTTGAGATTATAGACATATAATGATTTAATCTATTCCATAAATAAATCATGACATTACAGATGAAAACTAGCATGAACGCATCATTAGATCTACACATGTAAACTACACAGTATAACATGAACAGATCAAATATGCGCAACATATTGAACACGTACCGAGGTGACGAAAAGACCGGCTGCTTGGTCGAAACTTTTCGCAGGTGTCTACGAAGGCACGAAACACGCGAGCGAAGAGGAAGGCGAGCCGTCGCGAACGAACAGGGAGCAGTCGCGCGAAGCGCTTCCCAAAAACCTTATTGCCGCCTTCTCCCGGTGCAGGACGTCAAAGGCAGAGGTTCCGGAGACCTGCTCTCCCGATCGCTGGTGCACGCCGGCGAGCGGGATGGAGTAGGCTACGAGCGACGGCGCAGTACAGAGTAGGAGGCAAACCCTAGATTGATTTTGCGTATATATTGCATGAAGACGGCGGGTCGGTTTATATAGAGAAGGGTCGCTTGATCAGGGCGCCCGCACGATCTCTACTGCGCGTAACCGAACCGGATAAGTCGCGCGTAACTTATCCGGACTCCACGCCGTTTGCACGCACCGGATTTTTCGGAACGTTTCCAACACAAAAACGAATCCGAATTTGCAGCAAAACAAAACTGCAAAAGGAGGCTGCATCTGCGCAAGGGTGAGGAGCCAATTTTTCGGACCATTCGACGCGTACGTCGTGCACGCGCGCCGCCTGCCAGGCCAGGCGAGCGAGCGCGCGCGTGTGTTTCCCCTCTTCTCTCCACCACACATGCTTCAAGTGGCTAGGAGGACATCCTCCCTTTTAAGGAGGTCCCCCTCTCCTAGAATAAGCAAGATGGTACTAAACTCCACATGCATGCCATCCCATGAGGTGGGCTTTTGTGATTTTCCAAAGAATTAATCTTCGAGTGGGCTAAGGCCCATTCATTAATTCCAACATTTCTTGCCCTGCAAGCCTGCAATGCAATGCAGCTAGCACACATCGAGTTCTGAATTAGCTAGATCCTCACCTAGTACCTGCCTCTGCCCCAACTTGTCTTCTCTTCTCTTCTCCATGATGTCTTCGTCTTCGTCGGAGCAGTGCGACGTCATCAGCCTGCCGGAGGACCAGGTGTTCGAGATGCTCACACGCGTCTCGCTCGACGACCTCGCCGCCTGCCGCCAGGTCTCCACCCGCTGGCGCCGCCTCACCTACGAGCCCGCCTTCGCGCCGCTCCACTGCCGCCGCGCCGACGCCGTCTCCGGCTACCTCGTCCAGACCGTCGCGCGCAACCGCTACCACGCCACCTTCGTCTCCTCCATGCACCCCTCGCCGCCGCCGGCCGACCTCGTGTCCCTCGACTTCCTCCCCTCCCCGCACGTCCGCGTCGAGGCCGTCTCGCCGCACCGGGGGCTCGTCTGCTGCGTCGACGCCGACGCCGACGCCGCCACGCCGCGCAAGCCGGCGTCGTCCTACTACGTCTGCAAGCCGGCGACTAGGCAGTGGCGCGCGCTGCCTAACCCGAGGTTGCGCTACCGCACGGCCGCCACCGCGATGCTGGCGCGCCCCGGCGGCGGCGGCGGTGGCGCGGCGGACTTCAAGATCGTCCGCTTCTCCGTCCCCACGCTCAGGAACTGCCTCCGCTGCGAGGTGTTCGACTCGCGGGGGATGGCGTGGCGGCGGTCGGCGGACGTCGCGGTGTGGCCGGAGTCGCTCGTGGAGGCCGCCCCGGCGGTGAGGGCGCACGGCGCCATGCACTGGCTCCGGTGGCCCGACAGGCTGAGCGGCGGCGCCGAGGACATCTTCGCGTTCGACGTGAAGACCGAGACGTGGCGCCTCATCGGCCTGCCGCCGGAGGCCACCACCGAGAAGAGGTGGGCGCGGAAGAAGGTGGCGGCGGTGGAGGGGAAGCTGTGCCTGGTGGTGGTGGTCGACGAGGAGGTCGAGGTCTGGGTGCTGGCCGGCTACAGGCAGGAGAGGTGGGAGAAGAAGATGACGGCGAGCTTGACGAGGCTGGCAATGGAGGAAGGCAACTCATTCATACTCAGAGATCTCTACGCATCTGACGTTGCATTCTTCAACAGCGTCTACAGAGTGCTGTGGTAATTAAGCTAACTGTATATACTTAATAATTGCTTCTTCCGTTTTACACATATCTAAATCAATTTGCAAATAATTAGCTAAACAGTAGTAGTTTTACTCTTTGGAACGCAAGATTCTAAAAATACAGAAACAGGCAAAACATATAGGAATATGAAATGTGTATTGTTTGGATGGTTGAAAGGAAAAAAAAAACATGAGAATTTGGTGGATTCTATAGAGAGAGTAGAGAGACAAGTTTGAGCTCATTGTTTGTTTCCTACGGAATTGGTGTATAGGAAGTTAGGAACTCAATCCACAGGAATTTATTTAGGCTGTGTTTAGTTCCACACTAAAATTGAAAAGTTTGAAGAAATTAGAACGATGTGACGGAAAAGTTAAAATTTTTTGTGTGTAGGAAAGTTCGATGTGACGGGAAAGTTGAAAGTTTGAAGAAAAACGTTGAAATCTAAACAGGGCTTTACTTCAAATCCTTTGTTCCAAATGGCATTTATAGTAAAATTTCCTATGGATTGCAATTTTTCATATGAGAATCATATAACCCAAAGGAGCCTTACAGGTATGTGTTTGTTAATTCATACTATGGCCGTGTTTAGATTCAAAATATTTTTTTCAAACTTCCAACTTTACCGTCACATCAAATATTTAGACATATGCATAGAGCATTAAATATGGACGAAAAAAAAAATTATATAGTTTGCATGTAAATCGTGAGACAAATCTTTTGAGCCTAATTACGCCATGATTTGACAATGTGGTGTTACAGTAAACATTTGCTAATAATGGATTAAATAGTCTTAATAGTTTCGTCTCGCAGTTTAGGCGGAATATGTAATTTATTTTGTTATTAGTCTACATTTAATACTTTAAATGTGTGTCCGTATACTTAAAAAAATTTGGCACACGAACTAAACACTACCTATGATTTGCAGGTATGATTTTTTGAGGGGGAAGATAGCGGAAGCTCCACTACGCCACAAGTGCATCCAACAAGTTTTCAAGTTTGAGTCAGATTTGGTCCCTTTTGAGGAGATAGATGAAAGGCCCAATTCAGATTTTAAATGGGTTTGCAAGCCCTGATGATGTCGACAAATTCAATTAGCTAGTTCATGCTTACTTTTTTTTATTCTCTCAAATCCATCCGTTTAGAAATTAAAGCATTTTTAGACAAGGGCTCCTAGTATTCCAGTGTTGGTTTGACTCTAGTTTTGACATTGGCAAATTTTGATGGGGAGACATGGATAATTGGTGACTGCTCGATGCCTGCAAATTAAATTTATGCCCATGTGAGGCAATATATATTGACATGGCCAAAATTATGAACTTATGATGCAGCAAAACTATTGATAAAACATTTTGTTTGATATACTGTTATATTTTTTTCCTAGGCAGTCAATACACGTAGTCTATAGGTACATAAACCGCATATACACACACACAAACCATTATTTTTTTAGAGTACCTATGCATTTTTCGAAAGATTTTTATGAGTATCACGCAATTTTTAATCTTTGGATTAAAATTCGATAGACACAGTAAAAGGCAAAAAGCAACTAAGAAACACTATAATGGACACTAAATTACCATATCTTCAAGAAAAAGACTAAATCCAATACAAATTTCAAAACTTACATGTAAAGATTTAAAAATTACGTTGTAGCTTAAAAAACAAAAGTTACAATGTAAGTTTCATAAATTACACTGTAACTTACAAGAAAATGCACTGTAACTTACAAGAAAATGCACTGTAAGTTTAAGTGAGAAAATCGAGTGAAAGATAAGAAAAAAAATTTTCGAGTAAGATATAGCCAAAATCGATTTTTTTTCCTCGAATCAAAGGGGGAACGGAGAATAAAATTTCGATCCCTCTTAACCATGGGCCCATGGGATGCAGCCTGCAGTAACCTTCGTGAGCAAGAAACCATGGGCTTTCTGGCCTTTTCTTAGTGGGCTTCATAACGCGAGCCCCATGCCGGAATACGATCCGGCCCATGGGCCAATGGGAGTCCGTTTCGTCTTCGTCTTCGTCGTCGTCGTCTTCTTTTCTTGCAAGAAAGAAAAGGCGGAGCAGGAGCAGCAACGAGAAAAGGCGGAGGCGGCGGCGCAACCGACAAGGAAAAGCAAAGCGAGAGCAGGAAAACCTCGCCGGCGGCGACACCACCACCACCAGCAGGCAGGGATGGCCCGGTACGACCGCGCGATCACCGTCTTCTCCCCCGACGGCCACCTCTTCCAGGTGGAGTACGCCCTCGAGGCCGTCCGCAAGGGCAACGCCGCCGTCGGCGTCCGCGGCACCGACACCGTCGTCCTCGGCGTCGAGAAGAAATCCACCCCCAAGCTCCAGGACTCCAGGTAAATCCTTCAACCCGCCCCCTCCCCTTCGCCGGATCTCACCCGCGGATCGATCTCCCCCCCAAATCCAGGTCCATGCGCAAGATCGCCAGCCTCGACACCCACATCGCGCTTGCCTGCGCGGGGCTCAAGGCGGACGCCCGCGTGCTCATCAACCGGGCGCGCGTCGAGTGCCAGAGCCACCGCCTCACCGTCGAGGACCCCGTCACCGTCGAGTACATCACGCGCTACATCGCCGGACTGCAGCAGAAGTACACCCAGAGCGGCGGGGTGCGCCCCTTCGGCCTCTCCACCCTCATCGTCGGCTTCGACCCCTACACCGAGAAGCCCGCCCTCTACCAGACCGACCCATCCGGCACCTTCTCCGCCTGGAAGGCCAACGCCACCGGCCGCAACTCCAACTCCATGCGCGAGTTCCTCGAGAAGAATTACAAGGACACCTCCGGCAAGGAGACCATCAAGCTTGCCATCCGAGCCCTCCTTGAGGTATATATATACACTTCACACTGAATAATTTTACTAGTTAAAACTACCTCTAGCTTTGATCCACTACCACTGAATCAGTAACTGTGCTTCTGAAGACAGATACTCAAAAGTAATTCACTAATTTGTGTTGCTTATGTTGACTGGTTCAGTAATTTGTAAGATGCCCGCCTACGATTGAACATCGTTATCTTCGTTAAGTTCCATATGACTCAATTTGGTGCAAAGATTAATAGTTCCCTGAATCTTTGTTACAATCGGCTGAGACTATAAATGCAGTCATGAACCTAAAATAGAGTGGGATGGATGGGATTGGTTTTATTGTGTTTGCTTCCATCTTAAAGATGATACTTATTGGTGCCTGGAGTGATCATAGCAATTGGTATGGCTTGGATCTGTAATCTCATAAATCATCTCCAGCTATTTCAGCATTTGTATATTGGTTTTCATCTGCACCTCAAATTTTATTGTTGTAGTGTTGGCTATAGGTCTTTAACTCTTTATCCGTAGTAAATCGTCTCTAGCTATTTAATCATTTGTGTATTTTGATTGTCATCTGCATCTCATATTTTAAGTGTTAAGCACGGTTTCAAAAGTTTTTAAAGGCATTCTTATGTGAGTACATTTTTCTCTTCAAAAGTTATTAAAGTTGTTTGATTAGTGGCATATAAACTTTTGTTTTTCTGTTATTGATAATCTGCACCTGTAGTTCTCTTCTATTGCACTGTAGAAGCTGCAACTTGCATGTATTTTGTCAACTCTGCTGCCGCTTTAGTATGTTGCTGCTTAGATATAGGCACGGATGCCTAGTTCATTGTATTTACTGTCTAGGTAAAAAAAATGTATATACACCATTACAAAAATACATATCAAATTAAGGTCATCTTTGTTTAGGCTTAGACTTATTGGCTTGAGATTTTAAGTCAGCTTATTGGCTTATATGTTTTATAAACCGGTGGATTTGAAATCCTAAGTTCAATGGTTGAGTCATACCTCCACTTCATATAATCCAACAAAATGGTTTCTCCAACCTAGCTTTTGGCTTAACAGTGTAAGAGTGGCTTGTGGCTTTAAAAAGGGCAAACAAATAAGCTGCTTGTTTGTTTAGGCTTAGGCTTTTTGGCTCATAAGCTAGCTTATAAGCCTAAACAAAGAAGGCCTAAGTCTAAATGTCCTTTTTTCATTACTGTAAGTCTCTAACTGCAAATGGTTATGTTCCTCAAGGACACATAGTTCATAGCTAAATACTTCAAATCAAGTTCTTAGCCTGCATCTGGTTATATATTCGTTTATTGGTGGCTTCAAATGGTTAACACATATGCACAGCCACCATTGAGTTTATGCTAGCTAATGGTAAGCAGTTGATCATTTTTGCAATCTGTTGCTCATACAGACCGTGAAAATGCACGTCTCTTGCACATTTTGTCATATACGTATATGTCTGTACCTCTTTTAGTGAAATATCTTGCTTTTTTTCGTTGTTGGAAGACAAAGTAGTATGTTAGTACTTTGTTTCATGCTTTGCCAGTTGCCACATATGACAAACTCATTGACCTTTTTTCCATTGGTCAGTGGCAGAGGTAGATGGGTACATGGGGGTACATGTGTACCCCAAACTCTTTGCTAACCAACCACACTATACATAAACATATACAATTTATACTCAAATAAGAAAACTAGCTATTCAAGGGAATGAAGAGTCACTTATTTTATTAGATTTGAACTTTCATGAATCTATATACCATATATGAACCAATTTGATAATTTACTGGTAAATGTCACTATATTCTAATAATCATGCCACTTAGGTCAGATTCTGAACCCCTCATTAAGAATATTCTGGCTCCACCAATGCCATTGGTTATCACATATGCACAGTTCATGATATCCGAAATCAATTTCTTACTCTGCTTATACATTCATTGGTGGCTTCAAATGGTTATCACATATGCATATTAACTATTGAGTCCATGGTACTTATTTCTTTATAATGACATTACTACTGCCATTTGATAGGTAATTAAGCATTTTGTCAGTCTGTTGCACATGTAGAATTTTCTGATGAGCTCTTTTAGTGCAACAAATGTCATCCTTTTTTACTTGTCTGTAGACAGAGATGCCTGCTTGCTTTGCTTTTTTTTTTTCATGACGAACTCATTGGCCTTTGACCTTTGTTTATTCAGTGTTTTTTGCTGAGTTGGTTTCTCCATCATAGCTATATCATTTGATGCTTGGCATTTTATATGCAACAAATATCTTAAATTTGAGTAATGGGTTGATGTCTCCAGGTTGTCGAGAGCGGTGGCAAGAACATCGAGATTGCGGTGATGACACACAAGGATGGCCTCCGCGAGCTGGAGGAGGCTGAGATCGACGAGTACGTGGCTGAGATTGAAGCAGAGAAGGCTGCCGCCGAGGCCGCGAAGAAGGGCGCCCCGAAAGAAACCTGACCTGATCATCATGATTCAGCAAAGCATAATCTCTCTTAGCATGTGTTGTTTCTTTTCTGTTCTTGTTTGAGAGGAACGCAGAACTGTTTGGTTCAACTGAAGTGGATATGGCTATTTGCTGATCAGCCTACCTGGAGTAAATCCTCATGCTATATGCTTTGTGATGTTGCACAACACTGCTGCGATGCTCATCGTGTCAGTTGCCACTCAGTGGGTCTCCTTTTATGTATGAATATATCTGTTGCCTGTTGGTTGTAGACAGTAACGAAGAATAGTACTATGAGCTAGTGCGGGCCGCTGCTCTCCGTCGCGGGGATCTGGGCCAACTTCTCGTCTTGTGTCTGGAGCCCATGCTTTTTTGTTCTACTGCTCATTTGTTCTACTGCTCCTTTTAGTAGTGTGAGGTATATCAGTTTTTCTTTAATATAATATAGCACAGTAGGACCTCTTCTGTTGTTTCACGTAAGAAAAAAGGTATATCAGTTTTTATTTTAGGAAACACAGGACTGGTTTTACTACAATAAACCAAATCAGTTGAGCTACACTTACTTTGCTAACCGTTAGCTTACCAATCACAATAAAATATTAAATTTTAAAACTGAATTTTAAAGTTTATTTCGCTCTCTTGTAGTCTACTTTCCAACACTGAATTTTAAATCACTAGTAACATAGATATAAAAAAAATTATTTATAAGTTATTTTTAGTTGGCTTATGTTTCTTAACTTATCACTCGTAGCTCGAATATCAGAAAGGTCATTAAAAAAAATTCATACCATGGCATACATGCTCTCTCCATTACAGGACATTGCAATCTAGAATTAGATGGGGCATATCCTAATAATATGAATCTGGATGATTTTAGATACGTTTCATCTTATTTTATTCGGTAACGGATTTTAGGTTGTTGTATTCTATAACGGATAGAGTAAACGATAACTCGCATGTAATTAAAATATTTTCTTATTAACAAAAGATCCCCGACAACAAATGTTGCCAGTTGCCACTCGAGGAAGAGAAGGATCAACGGAAAGCATGATGATCCCGTGGACCACTTGTGCCTCCATGTTGGTGCGGGTGGCACACGCCCACACACACCACCGCTCCCATTGGCCTAAGCTTCGCCGAAAAGAGAAACCGTGACAACCAACTTGTCTCTCTCCGTCTCAGTTGACAAATCAAAAACCAAAAACTAAAAATAAAAATGTTTTTCGAGTTTTTTTTTTTTTGCCGATTCAACAAGAGAGCCCACCCTTTTTTCCCCATTTCGGATAAGGCTCACCTCGCCGTTCTATGGTGGGGCCCCTCGGCCCCACACGCTCACGCACACTTTACCAACCAACCAACCATCACCCACTCGCATGTCACCTGGGACCCACCCTCCCCTTGGAGCAAGTCGAGCAACGGAAAGGGAAGTGCAAGTACCACCCTACTTAATCAACCTTTATTATTCACTTAATTAATTATTAGTCCTTCTGTTTATAAATATAATTATTTTTAGAGTTTAGAAAAAATAAACTTAAAATAATATTACTTTAATACCACTGAGAGATTACTTGAAAAAGTTCACACTCAGCGATACGACAATTGAAAAAGTAGTACTTGAGAAATGCTTATATCTATAACCAAATTCTGAACATTAAAAATACTTATATTTATAGATGAAGGAAGTAAATCTACTGTCAGCATACCGTCAGCTTCACCTGCGAACAAGCAGCATACGAGGGGCTTGCCTTAATTGGTCGATCTGATCATACAATAATATTTTGCTAAGATTCAGATATATACTACTCTACATTTCTATTTTTTTAGAATCATGACTGGCAGTTAGTAGAAGCTACAATTATTACTCTATCAGCACTGAATATAATTACTCCAGCTAATACATACTCCCTTGATCCCATAATACAAGGCATTTTGAGTTTTTGTTTACATTGTTTGACCGCTCGTTTTATTAAAAAAATTTGTGCAAATATAAAAAATAAAAAATTGTGCTTAAAGTAATTTGGATAATTAAGCAAGTAAAAAAATAAATAATAATTCCACAATTTTTTTAAACAAGACGAGTGGTTAATGTAAGAAAAACTCAAAATCCCTTATATTAAGGGACGGAGGGAGTACTATCAAGGGAAAAAAAGAAGAAAGGATATCTAAGTCTTCTTCAGCCAATCTGCTTCACATCAGAGATTAGCAGATGCAGCACGCTTTGATCAACCATGGGATCACTAAAGCTCATCTGGGTGGGTCCCAGATCGGATTAGTGTCCAAATTAGGACTCCACAATCAATCAATTAAACCCTCCATCATCACCAAGCAGCAGCAAAGGTCGTCGCCATGAGAGACAGAATTGGCATCGAAACATACTATTCCAGACCACTGGATGCACTAGTGATGAGAGTAGCATTCATCGAACGGCGGTGAAGACGACGAGAGGAGATGAGGCAGTGGAGAAGATAGGGAGAGGAGGCGCCTTTACGGCGGTGACAAGGCAACCGGGATAAGCTTGCGAGTCACTCTCATCAACTGCTGCCTCTTGCATAATAGTCTCTCCTTTACTATCCTCTTTTTTTACACACTTATCATCGTGCATTAGCTCCAGAGGATAAGGTAGAGAGAAATTTTTGCTATTTTTAACCTTTTAAATTTTTATTTTTCAAATATAATATATATTTATTTAAAAAAAATCTAGAGCTTCTAACCACACCACCTCCAGCCACTCGTACTTACCAATGTTGTTTTCACATTAGTCCAACTGGTGTGCAGGGGCGGCACTAGAACAAAATGAAGAGAATAAGAGATGTACCACTCGCTTAATTTACTCTACTTTCGATTAAGTTTACGCTAATAGGAATGCTTTATTTTGAATTGAGGCGGTGCATATATGGGTGAAAATAGATGAACTATAGCTTAAAAAAATTCTTGACCGTGTTCCTAAGCACCCCTCTCCTATGTAGCTCCGCCCCTACTGGGTGTTTTGTAAGGGTGTTTCAAAAATTAAGAGTATAAAGGGCTGAAAAATGTTACTCCCTCCGTCTAATAATATAAGGGATTTTGAGTTTTTGCTTGCACTGTTTGACCATTCGTCTTATTAAAAAAAATTTAGAATTGTTATTTATTTTCTTTGTGACTTACTTTATTATCCAAAGTACTTTAAGCACAACTTTTCGTTTTTTATATTTGCACAAATTTTTTAAATAAGACGAGTGATCAAATATTATGAGCAAAAACTCAAAATCTCTTATATTATGGGACGGAGGGAGTAAAAGTGTAAGGTAGAGGAGGAAATATACTCTTTGTAATTAAATTAAATACGCGTATGAACAAGCACCTGGCTCCAAATCCGATGATGCCTGTGGATGATGCAGGTGGTTGCTGTCGTTATAAAAAGTCCCTGTCTCTCTCTCCTCTCGCCATTGGATTGGAGAGAGGTGCGCATTTCGAGCTGGTTAGTTGGTGGAAATGAGATCATTTATCTAACGACATTTCACACCAAACCAAATCTTGTCTCGAATCATGTTCCAGCTGATTCAGTTTGCAGTCATGCTATCCAATCCGAAATGGATCATTCCAATCCGAAACGGAGTACAAAATTTGTGATGATAAGGCAGATCACTGAACCACCTGACGCAAGTGTGAATTCAGACGATCTAATTTCTTGGTGGTTGGTTGTGTTCTCAATGATTGGATCGATGGATATGCAGGAGAAGAATGGTTGGCTGGAACTTGCTATCTTTACTAGGCATTGTTCAATTCACTGTGACCAATGTGCCAAATCCATCGCTGTTGCAGAGAGTCACTTTTATTTTTTCAGTACTACAGTAACAAGGACCAGATGAGAGCAGGATGGTTGGAGCATAGCACCACCACACTTGAGAAAATGGATCGAGAATGTCCTTGTCTAGATGGAAAATTTGGTGCTGGATTTTTGCCAACTCCAACAGCATCAGCTTGCTGAAGCTGAATCGATCTATGGTCTATCTGAATTCTATCTGCCATCCTTCTCCCGATTTGAATCTTTCTCAGTTCTCACTTCTTCAACTATACCTACCAGCTTTGCCTTTGCCTCCTGTTCTATATCCAGATAAGTCTTGGCATGCTGGGTTGTCATTTTGTCATGTCAGTTCGTGGTTGTTGCGAGAGATTATCTGTTGTTAATTTTATCTACCCACGATAATAGTAATTGGTTGGTGCGGATTTAGCCCAACCTGTCTACTTCTACCTGTGTTAATCAGCAGGAATAGTGCAGCTGCGTCGCTGTAATAACAACTTAATGAGGAGAAACCTGTAACCAAAACGCTACTTGGATTGATAGAATTTGTCCATGGAGAAGAAACAAACTGATGAGATGAGACCAGGCAGCCGCACCTCCTGTTGATCGGATGGTTGCTCGCAACTACCAGAGCTAGTAAACAACAACGCCATGGAACCAAAACTGCAGGCTTGCTGTCTCCATCTCTACCTCATAATTGGTAGCCAGATGCAGGGATGAAAATGGTTACAAAGGCCTGTTCACTTTGATGTTATTTTTAACCTTACCAAATTTTAGTAAAATTGCCAAATAAGTGGTTTGCTGCCAAAATTTGGCAACTATAAAAAAAATCCTATCAAAATTTGGGAGTACCTATACATCTTTCGAAAGATTTTTATAATCGTATCACACAGATTTTTAATCTTTAGATTAAAATCCGATAGATATAATAAAAAGCAAAAAGCAATTAAGAAACACCATAATGGACACTAAATTACCATATCCTCAAGAAAAAGACCAAATCCAATACAAAATTTAAAATTTACATGCAAAAATTCAAAAATTACAGTGTAACTTACAAAAGTTACAGTGTAAGTTTTATAAATTACACTGTAACTTACAAGAAAATGCACTGTAAATTTGAGTGAGAAAATCGAGTGAGAGATAAGAAAAAAATCTTTCGAGTGAGATATAGCAAAATCGTCAAAATTTTGGCAAGTTGCCAAAATTTGCCAAAATTTTGGTAATGCCAAAATTTGGTAAGGTTTTTTTTGTCATCAAAGTGAACATGTCCAAAAATTTCAGACCGACCGAGTTTAGATTCCATAAAAGTGGTACTCCCTCCGTCACATAATAAGTTAATATAGTACCGAAACTACCTCTATCTAAAAAAAGCGGTAGTTTTATATTGTTTATGTTCAACATTTATCCGTTCTTTCCGTTAAAAAAACATTTAACCGTTCGTACTATTTAAATTTTTTTATGATTAATATTTTTATTGTTATCAGATGATAAAATATGAATAATATTTTATGTGTGACTATTTTTTTTAATTTTTTTCATAATATTTTTAAATAAGACGGAC